TTCAAATAAACAATTGAGAATGAAATGATCCGTAATAAGAACATTATTTATTATTTGTTTCTGTTTCCATGTTTATTAGGGATGTCACAATTTCCTATTTCACTTTCTTTGTGTTGTTTGTTTGTTGTTTATTTGTTTGTTTGTTGTTTAACGCCGCACTCAGCAATATTCCAGCTATATGACAGCGGTCTGTAAATAATCGAGTCTGAACCAGACTATCCAGGGATTGACATCATGAGCATCGATCTACGCAACTGGAATGCGATGACATGCATAGACCAAGTCAACGATCCTGACCACCCGATCCCGTTAGTCGCCTCTTACGACAAACATAGTCGTCTTTAATGGCAAGCAGGGTTGCTGGAGACCTATTATACCCCGGATCTTCACGGGTCCAGTTCTTCAGTACCCTTGCATGCATCAACAACGAACCACACCGTTGTGACGCTACGACACACAACCAGCTAGATAGGTCACATCCTGGTGTTCATTACCTGGGCCTGACCCCCACATGCAGTTCTCCAGTACCCTTGCATCTGGGTGTCAGGCACAGTTAATGAGGACCCTGATGTGACCTAGCTAGCTGGTTGTGTGCCGTAGTCCACAACGGCGTAGTTCGTTGTTGATGCCGTTGTTGATGTCACTTGTATGCCTGGAGCCAGATTCGATTATTTACTGGCCGCTGTGACTTAACTTGTATATTGCTCACTGCGGCACAAAATATTATTCAGTCGCCTACCTATAGCAACCACTCAGCTATGCTTGTCGTAAGAGGCGACTAACGAGATCGGGTGGTCAGGCTCGCTGACGTAGTTGATGTATGTCATCGTATCCCAGTTGCCAAGATCAATGCTCATGATGTCAATCACTGGATTGTGTGGTCCAGACTCGATTATCTACAGACCGCTGTCATATAGCTGAACTATTGCTGCGTGTGGCGTTAAATAAAACAAACAATCACTCTTTAACGTAAATGATTACAGCGGAGATTATATTTAAATTTTACTGATATTGGTTTTGACACATTGATGGCTTCGTAGATGTGTGCCCATGTTACCAAGTAATCGAGGATTGGATGTAGATAGATATTGTCAAATTGTTAAATAAATGATTAATCATTCAAGTGAGTGAGTGAGTATGGTTTTACGCCGCTGTTACCAATATTCCAGCAATATCACGGCGGGGGACACCAGAAATGGGCTTCACAGATTGTACCCATGTCGGGAATCGAACCCGGGTCTTCGGCGTGACGAGCGAACTCTTAAACCACTAGGCTAACGACCGCCCCTCATTCAAGTCGCTTCATGGTATCATATAAAACTAGGAATAGCATGTAAACTCGGTATCAGGGCACAGTGGTGCCTTTCATAACCATTCCCTTTTATCTCGTATGAATTTCTAACATGAACATGTTCATGTTCAAAACACTTGGTCGTTATATCACTTCTTCACCTACATCCGATTGTCTCCTATTGTAGTCGATTAATATCCCTTTATACACTTAAATCTCGCTAATCCGGACGAAACTGTTTCCAGCAAAATTGTCCGGTTTCGACAACTTCCAAATTATGAATCATTGCTCCGGAAAACGTCCTTCACATTCGACGTAGTAAGCGCCCAGGGCGCTCTCAAAATTAGAAATAGGGGGCTTTTTGGAACATATTTTAGTGAAAAAAGCAGAGTGGAAAGATAAATATCGTGGTTTATGCTGACAGCCTGAAATGTTTATGTACGACAGACATATTTTTCCAGAATTTAATTGCCCTTAATTAAGTATGCACATAACACATGAGTGCGTATTATACGCGAATAAATAAGACTTGTGTACATTGAATAATCGGAAGGGGTGCTAATTGAGATTGTTCACTGGCCAACATATTAGCAAATATCGCCGTGGGCGCTTATTAGAGCGGGGCGCTTATTACGTCGATTGCGGTAGGTTGAATTTTCAGACAAGGTCGTCAGGATTAACGAGTGAGTTAATTAAAAATTGACATCGCATCGTCTGGATTAATTAAGTCCTTATTAATGGGGTTACACTGAAGTCTCAATATGGTGAATGATAGGTTGGAAAAAGAATTGCAGTGATATCCCATTGATACAATAATTACTGTGTTTACTGCCATGCGTTTGAACTGTACAAACTAGCGTGTGCTTCAGTCGAGGACTAACCTGAGACAAAGGCGACTTAAACCACTGTTGGTCAAACCCTTGGTTCCTGGAAGGTGACGCATCGGCGCGGAAGTTCCACATCCCGTCCAGGTTCTTCATGTTTCTACTCTCAGACTCCCGCGGATAGAGCATCCCCTTGCCGGCCACCCCCAGCACGACCCCCATGAGGCACACAGCTACCCCCGCCATCATCGGCCTAGGCGACATGACGGTGTGGAGCGACTGCTCACCAATTGCCCCATACCGCGGTGCCTAGGCTAACTGGAAATCGTCTTGGGCGGATAGATAAGATGCGAGTTCTTGAAACATATAAAACATACATTCACGTGTGTTTAAATAGATAAACACATGTAAGGGTACAATTACGTTGACCTTTTACTTTCACATTTTCCCATGCATGTGACTAATGTTTATACCTGATATATTCCCTCAGTGAGTGGTGTGTGAATATGGTTTTACGCATCTTTTAGCAATATACATGTACTAACAATATCGCGGCGTGGGACAGCAGAAATGGGTTTCACACTTTGTACCCATGTTGGGAATCGAACCCGGGTCTTCGGCGTGACGAGCGAACGCTTTAACCACTAGGCTACGACACCATCACCAGTAGTAGTAGTAGTAGTAGTAGTGGTGGTGTTGGTGTTGGTGTTAGGGATGGTGGTAGTAGTAGTGTTAGTATAAGTGTTAGTGTTGGTGTTAGTGATGGTAGTAGTAGTAGTCGTGTTAGTATAAGAGTTGGTGTTAGTGTTTGTGTCAGTGTTGGTGTTAGTGTTACTGTTGGTGTTAGTGGTGGTGTTAGTGATGGTAGTATTGTCAGTGTTAGTGTTAGTGTTAGTGTTGGTGTTAGTGATGGTAGTAGTAGTAGTCGTGTTAGTATAAGAGTTGGTGTTAGTGTTTGTGTCAGTGTTGGTGTTAGTGTTACTGTTGGTGTTAGTGATGGTGGTAGTAGTAGTGTTAGTATAAGTGTTAGTGTTGGTGTTAGTGATGGTAGTAGTAGTAGTAGTGTTAGTATAAGAGTTGGTGTTAGTGCTTTTGTCAGTGTTGGTGTTAGTGTTACTGTTGGTGTTAGTGTTGGTGTTAGTGATGGTAGTGGTAGTGGTAGTGGTAGTTTAAGAGTTGATGGTAGTGTTTGTGTCAGTGTTGGTGTTAGTGTTACTGTTGGTGTTAGTGTTTGTGTTAGTGATGACAGTAGTAGTGTTAGTAGAAGTGTTGGTGTTGGTGTTAGTGATGGTAGTAGTGGTGTTGGTATAAGTGTCAGCGTTACTGTTGGTGTTAGTGATGTATTAGTAGTAGTGTCAGTAAAAGTGTTTGTGTTAGTGTTAGTGTTAGTGTTAGTGTTGGTGTTAGTGTTAGTGTTAGTGTTGGTGTTAGTGATGGTAGTAGTACTGGTAGTGTTAGTATAAGAGTTGGTGTTAGTGCTTGTGTCAGTGTTGGTGTTAGTGTTACTGTTGGTGTTAGTGTTGGTGTTAGTGATGGTAGTAGTAGTGGTAGTGGTAGTTTAAGAGTTGATGGTAGTGTTTGTGTCAGTGTTGGTGTTAGTGTTACTGTTGGTGTTAGTGTTTGTGTTAGTGATGACAGTAGTAGTGTTAGTAGAAGTGTTGGTGTTGGTGTTGGTGTTAGTGATGGTAGTAGTAGTGTTGGTATAAGTGTCAGCGTTACTGTTGGTGTTAGTGATGTATTAGTAGTAGTGTCAGTAAAAGTGTTTGTGTTAGTGCTGGTGTTAGTGATGGTAGTATTGTCAGTGTTAGTGTTAGTGTTGGTGTTTGTGATGGTGGTAGTAGTAGTGTTAGTATAAGTGTTAGTGTCAGTGTTGGTGTCAGTGTCAGGTTAGTGTTAGTGTTGGTGTCAGTGTCAGGTTAGTGTTAGTGTTGGTGTCAGTGTCAGGTTAGTGTTAGTGTTGGTGTCAGTGTCAGGTTAGTGTTAGTGTTGGTGTCAGTGTCAGGTTAGTGTTAGTGTTAGTGTTAGTGTTAGTGTTAGTGTTAGTGTTAGTGTTGGTATTGGTGTTGGTGTTGGTGTTAGTTATAGTAGTAGTAGTAGTAGTAGTAGTAGTAGAAGTAGTAGTAGTAGTAGTAGTAGTAGTAGTAGTAGTAGTAGTAGTAGTAGTTTCAATGTCAGTGATAGTGATGATTCCTGTGCTCCGATATAATCCTCGGCCACGCCCTGCCTGTACAGACGCATTCAGCTCGTAAAATACCACACATCCCTTTGATGACACATGTAACACAATAATACGAAAGTATTGCCAGCTGGACGCAGCACTGTCCACCGTACACACGGCTACGCTGAGCGGCTCCAAAAGATCCTGGAGGAGCTTGTGTCTCACACACACACACACACACACACACACACACACACACACACACATAAGCAGGAGTGGTGGAGTCAGCTGGATATAACACCGCTTTGAACACTTTGGTCAAACTCAACCTCACGGGATTTTATTTTGGATTTGACCCTAACAAGCCGATCCTGGCTCGGCTGAGGGAAGCAAATCTGCATAGCCAATTGTTGCGCCTTAGGGGACATGGCAACCTGACCCCCCACAGGGAGTAGGTATGATGACGAAGCATCAAGACAAGTATGTCATCGATAAGATATTATAATATCGGCTATATTTACAGGGACGGTGTGGTAGCCAAGCGGGTAAAGCGTTCGCTCGTCACGCCGAAGGCCCGGATTCGATTCCCCACATGGGTGCAATGTGTGAAGCCTATTTCTGCTGTCCCCCGACGATATATTGCTGGGACATTGCTGAAAGCGGCGTAAAACCATACCCACTCACTCACTCACTCACTCTTACATTTACAGAATGGAAACACAATGCAATTAATTGAGCTTTTTATTAAAAGAAAGTAATTGTACATAATGATTATATAAAAAAGGGTAACAAACATATCCTGAACACTATAGATACAACATGATGAACGTGCAGCTGAACATGTGTATTGGTATATCTTTAGAAAGAATATTCTGTGGCGGCGAAAACAGAGAAGTCGGAATTGAGATAGGAGACATTCATTAAATGTTTAAGATGGAATAACCCCATTGTTCACTGTGTAACCTTATTAGTTTTTGAATATGAGTATCATGTTCTCCTGGTATGTCCTTTCTATTTTCAACTAAGAATTAAGTACATGCTGTACCATATAAATACTATCTGAATATTGTGTAGATTAAAACAGAATTTAAAACGTTCTAATGCATTAATGTAAAGAAACATTCTTTTTCCGCTACAGATGCAAAAACATATATTTTTTAATAATAACTTTGAGCCTAAATATTTATTTTTTAAATCACAACGTCAATTTTGTGGCAGACAATTTCTTTTTTTTAATAGTCTGAAGCATAATAACTTTTTTCAAACATCTTTTTGAACAATTTCTTTCGATGAAATACCAGCCCAGCCCCTACCCCCCTTCCCAGCCACCCACACAATATCAGATGGTCTGACCCCAGGGCATGTGGCTTCTTAAGTATGGAAAAACAACAACATTTGAATGGAATCATCCGAAAGATATATATGAAATTTATAAACACAAAGGTTACCTTCCTCCGTATCGCGATGGTCATCGACATTTTTTAAACTTATATTTTCATTATTTAACAATATTTTTACATGGTATTTCTATCTATTTTATTAAAGATTCTATTAGTCGAAATCAAACATCGTGCTTGCAACATTATCAATATTTAACTATTGCCTCATTTCTGTCAATAATATTTCAATTAACGTGCATTCAATTACTATCAATAAAGGTAGTTTTTATTCAAACGTAAATGTATAATACTGCTTACATATATTCACTACATGTCATTGTGTTATTAATATTTTATACACAATCTTCATAATCAAACAATTAGTTTTATCATGTGTATACAATGACTTTCTTATTACATATATTATTATGAGTCGATACACTTCAGATCACAGACCATACACAATATATAAAATATGATATTTGATCACCGTTCAAGCTATTCATTTTGAAGCAGAAGTTTTAGGGAGGTGATGATGGTCTAAATTATCTTTACCCATTTAAATAGTATATATACTAATCTAAGCAACAACGTTGAAACAAAGGAATGGAGTTACATGAAACTATAAGGATACAATTAAGATACATGTCCAAGTCATGAAGGATATCAATGCATAATTAAGAAATCATTGGTAGTTAATAGAACCTGTTTGAGATTTTCACAGTCTTGCTCGATGTCATCCAAGATGTCCTCAATGTGAAGCGTGTTTAGGACTCGTTCTGAACATACCTGGTAGATGTCCTCCCCAAATTGTCCCCAATGTGGTCCCAAGCATACCTGTCTAAGCCGAGCTCTTCACAGACTTGGTGGATGTCTTCCCCAAACTGTCCCCAATGTGGTCCCAAGCATACCTGTCTATGCCGAGATCTTCACAGACTTGGTGGATGTCTTCCCCAAACTGTCCCCAATGTGGTCCCAAGCATGCCTGTCTAAGCCGAGATCTTCACAGACTTGGTGGATGTCTTCCCCAAACTGTCCCCAATGTGGTCCCAAGCATACCTGTCTATGCCGAGATCTTCACAGACTTGGTGGATGCCTTCCCCAAACTGTCCCCAATGTGGTCCCAAGCATGCCTGTCTAAGCCGAGCTCTTCACAGACTTGGTGGATGTCTTCCCCAAACTGTCCCCAATGTGGTCCCAAGCATGCCTGTCTAAGCCGATATCTTCACAGACTTGGTGGATGTCTTCCCAAAACTGTCCCCAATGTGGTCCCAAGCATGCCTGTCTAAGCCGAGATCTTCACAGACTTGGTGGATGTCTTACCCAGGATGTCCTCAAGGTGAATCTCAAGGGTGTCCCCAGCTCGAGCTCCATGTATTGGGTGACTTCTCCTCTCCGTGTCAGTCCCCGATGCAATCTGTGTGCCGTTCCGGACAATGCTGTAGTGAAACTGCGGCGTGGACGACGCTAGGACCTGCCACTCCACGACATCTGGCTTTGCCTTGGTGATGCTGAAGCTGATCGGAGGATCAGGAGGGGAAGCATGATGACTTGGTAGTTCTAAATTGGCGTGAAGACCGATTCCTGGCGACGTATGGACGTGACCTCCGCTAGCCATGTACAAATAGTCCTTCTCCACCCCAGCGTCATAGTTGTTGGCGTGGTTGTGAGTGGATGATTCAACGACGACACTGAAACTCGTCTTTGTGAAGGGGAACCAGCTGCCGTCGACTTTCCTCTTGAAACCCTGACGGTAGTGACCTTTGCGCGCGTTCTGTCCAGTCCCCACCCAGTCTTCTAGGAAAAGGCTCGTGTCAGAATTGAACCTGACCTGCTTCACAGGGAAATCCATGGTGATCATGTGTGACCAGTGGTGATCGGTCTGGTCATGGATCCAGAAGCCAAAGAAGGTATGGCCATTGACGTCCCACACTCTGGACACCAGGGTATACCACTGATCCGGCTTCCAACCAATGGAGAAGTTAAGGGATCGGAGTCCAGTTCCCTCTCCACCAAAATTGGCCACCTCGGTCCACAGTCCCTTGTAGGCTGCTTTGATAGGAATGGACTTGGTTTGTTTTGGGTCCCAAATTGAGTAGATGAACGCTTTTCCCTTCGGGTGATCCTGAAGACCACAATAGCCTCCACCTTCCATCCCGCCATTCCAGCTCATGGTGCAGTAGTAAGTATCAAGTACAAAACCATCTTTAGGAACAAGAATCTCGTTGCGAATGATGTCTCCAGGGAACGCATCTTTGAAATGCATCCAGACTGAAGGGGCTCGAGCCATACTGAAACTGCAGAAACACAATCTCATTGTATATATGATAAATGCGATGGTCAGTGATGTGTTGGTTGTGTGAGTAAGGTCGTTAATATTACAGCAGTGCCGGGGGGGGGGGGGGGGGGGGGGGGGGTATGCAAAGCGGGGGACACAACAGTATGTTCACAAACTGTACCTGTGTTAAGTTTCAATATAGTTTATTAAATGTTAAATGGATATGCTACGAAATATCACTTGAAATACTCTCTTCTTATGTACATGGGGCGGTCGGTTAGCTTAGTGGTTAAAGCGTTCGTTCGTCACGCCGAAGACCCGGGGTCGATTCCCGACATGGGTACAATGTGTGAAGTCCATTTCCGGTGTCTCACGGAGTGATATTGGCGGAACATTGCTAAAAGCGGCGTAAAATACTCACTCACTCACTCTTATGTACATACGATGTTCATATAGACAGACAGACAGACAATCAGGCACAGAGAGAGACAGACAGACAGAAAGGCAGAGGCAGGCAAAGAAACAGAGATCGAGACAGAGAGACACAGAGAGAGTACATAAAGAGGGGTGTGAGCGAGAGAAAAAGAGATGAAGAGACAGAAAGACAGAGTACAAACAGATTGCGTGAGAGAGAGAGGGTTAGTGAGAGAGAGAGACAGACAGAAAGAAACAGTACAGACAAAGGGAGAGAGTGAGAAAGAGGGAGAGGGAGAGAGACAGGTAGAGAGACAGACTGAGAACAGACAGGCGAGAGAGAGAAAGAGAGGTAGAGAGACAGACAGACAACAGATAGGCAAGAGAAAGAGAGGTAGAGAGACAGACAGACAACAGACAGGCGAGAGAAAGAGAGGTAGAGAGACAGACAGACAGACAGGCAAGAAAAAGAGAGGTAGAGAGACAGACAGATAGACAACAGATAGCCAAGAGAAAGAGAGGTAGAGAGACAGACAGACAGACAACAGACAGCCAAGAGAAAGAGAGGTAGAGAGACAGACAGATAGACAACAGACAGGCAAGAGAAAGAGAGGTAGAGAGACAGGCAGACAACAGACAGGCGAGAGAAAGAGAGATAGAGAGAGAGACAGACAGACAACAGAGAGGCGAGATAGGGAAAGAGAGGTAGAGAGACAGACAACAGATAGGCGAGATGGGAAAAGAGAGGTAGAAAGACAGACAGGTGAGAGAAAGAGAGAGAAAGAGAGAGAAAGAGAGAGAGTGAGAGGGAGACAGACAGTACAGAGGAGACACAGAGAGAGAGAGAGAGAGAGAGAGAGAGAGAGAGAGAGAGAGAGAGACAGAGATCTTACAATGTATACAATGTATCAATACATCACACATCCAAGAGCTACTCCTGCTAACATATATATTACCTTGTCCGCTGTATACGCTGATGCTGTGGTTGGTTGTACCGTGAGATACGAGCTGGATGATACGCTATTGAAATCCTACATTTATAGGCCCTGAAATTGCTTGATCAGGCCGATATGACAGAATCAAATTAAATATCGGCCAATCGCCTCTCCCATACATTAATCCACTGGTCAGCGACTAATTTGTTTACACTATCACAGGCAATATGATATGACGTGGACACACAGGCTTCGAATGTAGAGACTTGTCCTAAATTCAACATCATGAGTCAATTAACCTACTTTTGAACACGTTTGTTCCACACTTTCGTCTTTATTGGTCGATGCGAAGTCAACTTATCTGATTCCAGTGTAAATGGAAAAGAATTTAGATAGCATACACAATGTCATTTAGAAAGTGATCAAATGTAATAAATATTATATTTCGGCAACACTTTATAAGTAAAATACAGATTCTAGTACTTTTGGGGGGTTGAGACCCATCCGAGATTCGAAACCACACTCCCAGAGTGAGGCTAGCAGAAACTAGCATCTGTACTATACTAAGAAAGTGTTACCCAAAACATTATAGTATTTTGACAGACACAAAAAATGTTTAACAGTGGGTTTGACTTTAGCCCCAAAATATGGCTTCCTGTCGTCTATTTGGTTTTTAAAAGCTTCGCATCACAAGATAATTTTCACTTTAAAAAGCCTCTGACTATTGGGGACAATGCAGTTTAAAAATGTATAGTCTGTGTGCTTATTTTTAATTTTTTGTGTGTGATACATTCTGTACAGGCAAAAAACTGACCTTTATGTGATCTAGATTTAGAGGATGAATATCATTTTTTACTTGTATGTGCTACTTTTGGCAAGTAGAATTAAATATTTACCATCACTAATGTGAATATGCCTACATTTAAAATGATTGTTGCCAAGAACGTCCATGAACCTTTACCACCACCAGTGTGAATATGCCTATATTTAAAATGATTGTTGCCAAGAACGTCCATGAACCTTTACCACCACTAATGTGAATATGCCTATATTTAAAATGATTGTTGCCACGAACGTCCATGAACCTTTACCACCACTAATGTGAATATGCCTATATTTAAAATGATTGTTGCCACGAACGTCCATGAACCTTTACCACCACTAATGTGAATATGCCTATATTTAAAATGATTTTTGCCACGAACGTCCATGAACCTTTACCACCACTAATGTGAATATGCCTATATTTAAAATGATTGTTGCCAAGAACGTCCATGAACCTTTACCACCACTAATGTGAAGATGCCTATATTTAAAATGATTGTTGCCACGAACGTCCATGAACCTTTACCACCACTAATGTGAATATGCCTATATTTAAAATGATTGTTGCCACGAACGTCCATGAACCTTTACCACCACTAATGTGAATATGCCTATATTTAAAATGATTGTTGCCACGAACGTCCATGAACCTTTACCACCACTAATGTGAATATGCCTATATTTAAAATGATTTTTGCCACGAACGTCCATGAACCTTTACCACCACTAGTGTGAATATGCCTATATTTAAAATGATTGATGCCAAGAACGTCCAGGAACCTTTACCACCACTAGTGTGAATATGCCTATATTTAAAATGATTGTTGCCACGAACGTCCATGAAAAAATCAAATCATAATACATGTTTATGTATCATGCTTATGAAAGAACAAAGTGTTTTATAAACAATACCCCTTCCATACTTGTTTTTATATGTGGGCCTATGACCTTCAATGATTAATAATTGATCAATAACAGGGCTTTAGACGACTTGCCACCTGTACCCCACAAGGATTATACAAACCCTCGACACGGGTTCAAATAAGCTAAATTACAAACGCTGCCGGGGATCGAACCCCAGACCTTCCGCTCTCCGGGCGGACGCTCTACCACTAGACCACTGAGGCGGTCCCTTTAGATGTTAAGCTTTTCAAAACATAGATATAAGAATTGAAATATGTGCACGTAAAGAAACTGTTTAACTTTCAACGATTCAGCAGCCCAATATGTTCAGTACCTGAGACTGAAAACCATGTACCAAACTGCCGGACAAAAGTAAGTGTACATGTGAGAAACAACGGTTTCAAAACGCTACAAGTGTAAAGCCCATTTATGGTGTCCCCCGCCGTGATATTGCTGGAATATTGATAAAAGCGGCGTGGAACCATACTCACTCACTCACTCAAAACGCTACAAGGCTGAAAAGAGTCGCTGAAACACTGCAAACGTAAGGTCAAAAAACACTATGACACCTGTATCAAATACATCACTATCGAATGACCATGTCTTCTGTGTCATTTTTGGCCTGGTATTTTTATGGGTGTAAAGTTTTGTTTGCCCGGTAGTGTATTTGGTTTCCCACCCTATGATCCATACATTTAAATACATTACTGAGAAAATAGGAAGTAATGTTAGCAATATCAAAATGTGTGTATTCAATACTCCACTCAAGAGAAAATGTATAACATTATATGATATTTAGTTCAAAACTACATGTATAAATATTTCCCTGTACATGCATTATAGGTCATAATGGTCTTGAAAGCAAAATAAAAGTTGACTTCACTTTACTTAATACGCCACATACAAGGGGGTTCAATAAGCATCCTGGAAGCATCCTCCACGTAGGGCAGGTTTCATTTGCCGGAACAAGAATAGTCACTTGGGGCTTAGTCTTGGCTGTACAGTTAAATCACCCACCCTACAGCCCAGACTTAGCCCCCAGTGACTATTTCCTGTTCCGGCAAATGTTATCTGCCCTACGTGGAAGACGCTTCCAGGATGACGAGGGCATAAAGGCTGCCACAGAGGCGTGGATAGAGGGCCAATCTGCGGATTTCTACAAAAGTGGTATCAAAAGCTTGAAGGACAAATGGAATAAGTGTATTGAGGTGAATGGAGATTATATTGAAAAATAAAAATGCAAAAGATATTCTGCGACTTGGTCTTATATTGAAGTTGCAAAACTTATTGAACGTCCCTCGTATATCTATTTCCATCAGTTACTAAATCACGGAGCATGTTGGTCATATCTGACGTCGCTACATCCCCTGTCAGGCGTCCCGTGTGTTCAGGTACATGCTATTTTAGCCGCTGATGAGTTTAGCCTTGACACAGTCCCCGCATCCCGCGTGTCTACCTTGCTATAGTTATTGCTGACACTCAATCTGGTGGCATCTGTACTATACACTACATCATTTTCATTAGGCCATGTACTTTTAGCATTATCAAGGACTGTGTTAAGCAGTTTTAGAATTTCAGTGATATTTAGATATAGGGTCCAGACGTTATTCGAATACTGGAGTGAGTGTGTGAGTGAGTTGGGTTGAACGCCACTTTTAACAGTATTCCAGTTATATCACGGCGTGTCAGCTTAATTTCGGAGGAAAGCCCGAAATGATGCAGGTCTCAGACGTTTACACATTCCGTGAAACCCATGAGCACGGGTATGGTGCTGACAAACCTAGAAACATAATCGGGGCGAACCGGGATTCGAACCCACAACCATAGGTTTCTGGCGTGCCCAAGGGACGCAACTCTGCACAGCGATTCGCGGCGCTTCAGACCACTTGGCCGTGCCCAAGCTCCTCACAGCGATAGTCCGTTGGCGGAGCTCTCTAAACTATCGCTGCCACCAGTCAAAACTCCCCACTGTGATAGGTGGCCCCAACCATGCTTGGAGTTGAACTCGCAACCGAATGACCGTTATGTTTACAAACAAGTGACGACTGTCGTCACGCCGAATACACTTACCGCTGATAAATTACTTTCTTTGTTTGTCAGTTTGAATTTCTATTTCAATAAAAGTATCATCTTTAATTGATATCGTAAGAATGTAAGGGAGAAGCTGGTTGATTTTCCGTTAATCTGCAATCTCGAACCAATCTGATTATTAAAACAACAAAGTAAATTCATCCGGAAAATATGGTCAGTCATAAACTTTTTCAAAATGAAATATGATGGCATTCCCAAAGACATAAATAAAAGTTATAAACGATACTACATATGGGGTTAGAGGGCAAATTTCAAGATTCTTGTAATGGCCGCGCCCACACTGGTGGCAGCGATGTTACCGAGAGTGTAACGAAGGTGTCACGCGCTGGGAAGGAGCTTGGGCCGTGCCCGACCAGGCGAGATAATCAAAATGTTCCCCTCTCCAATACTCGTGCACAAATAAGCGTGGCGTACTATCGTCGGGTACTTGAGTCAAGGTCGGGAACTGGCGCACGGGGCCATTTATTCTCACCGCCAGCGTCCAATGTAACGTATCTGTGGCCTAGTGGATAGAGGGTCCGGACGGAGAAGGTCGGTGGTTCGATTTCTTGGCCGCGTCATATCAAAAGACGTTTAGAGATGGTACGTATTGTTACCTTGCCTGGCGCCCGGCATTAAGAGGACAAAACCAGGACTGGCGTGACAGTAAACTTTGTAAACCACGTTGAATCCCACGCACTGCACCTCAACACAAAACCCAGAAAATACCCAGAGTGTTGACCTCCACAGAAAACATGCCCAGTGTTGAGTACAGGCTGCTCACCGCCCTACCACAGCTCATCTTGAGGTGAGGTGAGGTGAGGTGAGGTGAGGTGAGGTGAGGTGAGGTGAGGCGAAATGGGGTTTAACGTCGCGTCCAAGATTATTGCACTTATATAGCGACGTGCATGCACAGGTGTGTGTGTGTGTGTGTGTGTGTGGCTGCTTGTACTGGCCCGGACTGATGCCGATCTATAGTGCTAGCTCACTGAGATATCCTGCCACAGTTTAACATGAATACCCCACTCAGACACAGTATACTGACTCTGAGCCGAGCGCCAGACAGGGTAACAACAAGTACCATCTTTTAACGTCTTTTGGTATGACTCGGCCGGGGATCGAACCGCGGACCTTCCGCTCTCCGGGCAGACGCTCTACCACTAGACCACGGAGGCGGTCCAGTTTCACCTTGATTGGCAATAGGACGAATACGTACTGGAAGCGGGATCACGAGTGTCACTCGTTAACGTGACGATCACATTGAACTATACAACATGGCGGCAGTCATGGCCATGACATATATGGAGTCATAATCATGATAAACATTCTCCATATCAAATTATACACATGTACCTAATTTACATTTACCATAAATACAGCTTTTCTCAAAGGTATGCGGTATACAGTCAAAGCATGTTATATCATTACACCGTTGTTTCTCGAGGAAATATTTAAGGAACGGAAAAAGCCGAGATGATCTGAATGGGTCGAATACTTAAACTCTTATGCCTATGGGCAAGGGTGGGGTTCAAGCAGAATGATTTATAGCAAGCAAGAATACATTATTGTTCGTAGGACACCTTTAACGAAAACAAGTTATTTGCGGTGATTTTATGGTGAGGCACATATTACTATGGTAGATGTAGAAATAGGCTTGGGTTTTATTGAGGCCTATTTGCGTCCATCACGTCAGGTACTGCTAATATTCTCTTTACCGAGGTAATAAAGACTATAATGACATGGAAAACGTTGGAAAAAATGAAATATTGGCATAAAATTGTTACAATTTCCATTAATGCATTAAAATAACTAACAATAAGACAGTACCTATTAATAAGAGAACACCGCAGAACAGACATTTATATTGATGAACATAGATCCATGATTGCGGTACCCCTTTGTGAAAGAAATCTCCCTATGGAGGCTGCGGGCAAATTATGAAGTCTTGAAGTCATTAGCTAATGTTTTGTTGAATATATATTTGGACGATGTGTATCAACCAGGTGAGAAAAGAAATGTCTCAATGAAGGAATTTGTTGACATACATGGCATCTCACAAAAGAAACAAACCGTCACCTTCTGTTCTGGAAATGGTTCTAAAAATGAAATTCACTTTCTGAAAATAAAAATTTACAAATAATAGGTAAGTGATTGTCGAACCCGACAATAATACTTTTAGAAATGTCTTTCTCTTCGATGTCATCGTATTCCAATTGCGTAGATCGATGCTCATAATGTCCATCACTGGATTGTCTGGTCCATACTCGATTTTTCTACAGACCGACGTCTTATAGCTGGAATAATGCTGAGTGCGGCGTTAAACAACAAACAATCAGATTCTCCCACCCACCCACCCCTCTCTCTCTCTCTCTCCCTCTCTCTTTCTCTCCCCTCCCCCTCTTTCTCCCCTCCCTCCCCCTCTCTCTCTCTCTCTCTCTCTCTCTCGCTCTCTCTCTTCATTTGGGAACCTTCATAGAGCGAGTGCCAAACTGTATGAAAGTCGGAGCCAGTGAGATTATTGTATGCTTGTATAGAATCGATATTAAATAAATACATTACATGACCCAGCTACTTATCTAATGATGATATGGTAGTAGAATATGTAATATTTGGCTTATATATCACAATATTACTGCTTCCATATTTTCATCATTTTTTTGCAACTAAAAGATTTAAGATGTTCATGACATGTCGATAACACTGCAGGCCATGTGTTCTGCATGTTACGATGACAGCTGATCCCCATGTATATTTCATAGCTATTATCATCCAAGTAAGTCGTGTTATTTATCTCATATAACATAACACACATCACGTGGATCTACCATGACGTGGCAATATTTATTTTCAGCGTATATAATACGTATAAAAGGGTGAATATGTATATATACACAGTAGCATTCATTCAAACTTAGTTGGACCGAGCGAGTAAATATAAAAGTCAACGCCAGAGAATAACCAGTCTCGATTGTCCGCCAAAACAGATTCCATTGAGTGTGCAGGGCAAAACAGAGGTGACGATTATATGAATGAATCACTGAAATGTAAGTACATATATTGGTTCATATAGTGTCAAATGATATGTTCACAACGTATTGTACGCTGTTGAAGAGCGTGAGTGAGTGAGTATGGGGTTACGCCACTTTAAGAAATATTCCAACAATATCAGTGAGTGAGTGAGTTTGGTTTTACGCCGCTTTTAGCAATATTCCAACAATATCACGGCGGGGACACCAGAAATGAGCTTCACACATTGTACCCCTGGTTGGAATCGAATACTGTCTCCATTTAATATAAGAAGTTTTGAATTTAAACTACTGAATACATCAAAGAGATGTTTGTTTGGTTGTTTGTTGTGTAACACCGCACTCAGCAATATTCCAGATATATGACGGCGGTCTGTAAATAATCGAGTCTGGACCAGACAATCCAGTGATTGACATCATAAGCATCGATCTATGCAATTGGGATACGATGACATGCATCAACCAAATCAGCAGGCCTGACCACCGGATCCCGTTAGTCACCTCTTACGACAAGCATAGCCGCCTTTTATGGCAAGCATGGGTTGCTGGAGACCTATTGTGGAGTCGATATTCTGGGTGTCCACGTGGGATCTGAATATGTGTGATGGGTTGCTTGGAGATGATGTCATTCAAACAGCATCCCATATTGCCATGGAGCATGTTCAGCTTCATTTAAAATTAATAAAAATACAGTTCACGAACACCAGTTGCTGTACTCCAGTTATTAAACGACATGAAATAGACCCTGATTCCTCTCAAAGCTGAGTGATATATTAACATGTTCTTGGTCGTGTAAAAACTAGACTTTGATACAAGCTAGTAGACATGCTTGCCTCGGGAACATGTACCGGGTTAGACTAGGTCTTCAGCAACCCATGCGTAAGAAGCGACCAACGGGATCGGGTGGTCAGGCTTGCTGACATAATTGATGCATGTCGTCCATTGCGTGGATCGATGCTCATGATATCAATCACGGATTGTCTGGTAAACGCCCGATTATTTACTAACCGCCGTCATAGAGCTGAAATATGCCTGGTGCGGCGTTTAACAATAAACAAACAAACGACTCATTATCTGATATTTTTTAAATTTCATTACAGCTTTTGCAAACATTTCAACATGGCAAGAGCGCCTTCCGTCTGGTTTCATTACGAGGACTATTTCCCTGGGGACATTATCCATCAGAGCATCTTAGTCCCCAAAGACGGCGTCACATTGGACACCTACTACTGCTGCATGCAGTGGAACACCGGTGGCGAGGGGGGCGGGTACTGTGGGATACAGGACCATCCAAGAGGGAAGGCCTTCATCTATTCAGTCTGGGATCCAATCAAATCAAACATTCCCATTAAACCAGCTTTCACCGGAATGTGGACGGAGACAGCGAACTTCGGAAGCGAAGGCACCGGATTCAAAAGCATGAACTTTGCTATTGGTTGGCAGCCGGACCGATGGTATACCCTTGTAAGTCGGATGTGGAACTACGGTAGCCATACTTATTTTGGCTTCTGGGTCCACGACGAGACGGACAAACAGTGGACTCATGTCATCACCATGGACTTTCCTGTGAAGTCCGTGCTGTTTAACACCAATACGGGAAGCTTTGTGGAAGACTGGGCAGGAACAGGGGACAACCAGCGCAAAGCTCTCTACCGTAACGGGTTCAAGAGAAGATCAGACGGCACATGGTTCGCCTTTGACTCGGGAAAGTTTGACGTCGTCAGAGGGACAGGCACCCTGAACCACAACAACAACTTTGACGGTGGTAGCAACCAGGACCATTACTATTTGGTAAGTGGAGGCACCATACAACCCTCTCCAGGGTTGGGCACCACCTCCAAGACGTTCGATGTCACAACCCAAAAGGAGCCGACGGAAAACCCTATTGACTTCACAATAACCTTGGCAACACCGAAACTGGTAACGTGGACAGTACCTGCGTCTTCAACGCCACAGTTCAAATACACCATCTTTGTCGGTGATCATCTCGTGACCATGGACATCGCGACACAGGTCAGGTCTCACGTGGTGTCCGGGGCGCTCGTGGGGAACATGGTCAAGGTCACCATCGAGGACATACTGGGTAGAGTCACGACCAAGACGGCCACAGTCACAGACGACCAGTAAATGGTCGCAATATGTTACTGCAGTTTCTAATCCTAAAGATTATAATCCTAAAACTGTATAGTGTATTTCATATAGCTATGAACATTTAATCAGGGATCCGATTTAGCATTTTGCATTTCTCCTAATCAAAGTCTAGTAAAGACAGTACGTTATTGGGAATTTCTTCAGTTAAAGTCTAGTTTGGACAGTACGTTATTGGGAATTTCTGCAAATCAAAGTCTAGTTTAGACAGTACGTCGTTGGGAATTTCTCTTAATCAAAGTCTAGTTTGTACAGTGCGTTATTGGAATTTCTCCTAATCAAAGTCTATTTAGGACAGTGCGTTATTGGGAATTTCTCGAAATCAAGGTCTAGTTAGGACAGTACGTTATTGGGCATTTCTTCAATCAAAGTCTAGTTTGGACGGTACGTTATTGGGAATTTCTTCAATCAAAGACTAGTTTGGACAGTTCGTTATTGGGAATTTGTCCAAATCAAAGTCTAGTTAGGGCAGTACGTTATTGGGAATTTCTCCTCATCAAAGTCTAGTTAGGACAGAACGTTATTGGGAATTTCTTCAATCAAAGTCTAGTTTGGACAGTTCGTTATTGGGAATTTCTTCAGTTAAAGTCTAGTTTGGACAGTACGTTATTGGGAATTTCTGCAAATCAAAGTCTAGTTTAGACAGTACGTCGTTGGGAATTTCTCCTAATCAAAGTCTAGTTTGTACAGTGCGTTATTGGAATTTCTCCTAATCAAAGTCTATTTAGGACAGTGCGTTATTCGGAATTTCTCCAAATCAAAGTCTAGTTAGGACAGTACGTTATTGGGCATTTCTTCAATCAAAGTCTAGTTTGGACGGTACGTTATTGGGAATTTCTTCAATCAAAGTCTAGTTTGGACAGTTCGTTATTGGGAATTTGTCCAAATCAAAGTCTAGTTTGGACGGTACGTTATTGGGAATTTCTCCTAATCAAAGTCTAGTTAGGACAGAACGTTATTGGGAATTTCTTCAATCAAAGTCTAGTTTGGACAGTTCGTTATTGGGAATTTCTCCAAATCAAAGTCTAGTTAGGACAGAACGTTATTGGGAATTTCTACAATCAAAGTCTAGTTTGGACACTACGTTATTGGGAATTTCTCCAAATCAAAGTCTAGTTTAGACAGTACGTTGTTGGGAGTTTCTCCTAATCAAAGTCTAGTTAGGACAGTACGTTATTGGGAATTTCTTCAATCAAAGTCTAGTTAGGACAGTACTTTATTGGGAATTTCTCCTAATCAAAGTCTAGTTTGTACAGTACGTCATTGGGATTTCCTACTCATCAAAGCATAGTAGTTATGTTTCAGTGGCTCGGATCAACAAAGGAATTTAATCAAAGGAAACGATCTTTTTAGATGACAAAATGTATCAATTTTAAAATGTTTAGCTTTGTGTTTAGGCATGTGATAAACTCGATCACATCAAGCTGTATTGAATTCGCCACCAGCACAGTATACAGTCCTGCAGTCCTGCATTGACACGTAGCTTATGACAAGTATGTCCTTTTCATACTGATATCATAAATAATGATATCCATTTTGTCATAGCATTCAAGTTGCGTTACCTTGATGCATGCATAATAACGAAATAATAGAAATGGATGACTGCACACCCATATTTGATGGTGGCCGGACATGAAACAAAGAAGACATTGTTGCTATTCGGTGGTGATGTATTTGATACTAGTATCATAACTATTTTCAACGATAGACTTGCAGTTTTTCGGCGACTGGTTTCAGCATAGTAACGTTTTCATAACGTTTGTAGCTTTTTGGTCAGTTTCCAAGTGTGTACTATCTTTTGCCTGACAGTTTCCATGTATGCATTCACTTTATATGTATGGCTCTGAAATGTCATGAAGCTTGCAATAAAGGCCTACCAACTGATATGTTTCTGTCAAAATAATACCTTACTATATGAGGTGATACTTATGTACGCTACCTGTACAACGTTAACATATCGTCATATCGTTACCACGTTACCAAACCCCACGTAAACCGCAATATATCTAACGGTAGAGTATCTCATTAACATGAGTGAGTGAGTGAGTGAGTTGGGTTTTACGCCGCTTTTAACAGTATTCCAGTTATATCACGGCGTGTCAGCTTAATGTGGGAGGAAAGCCCGAAGTGATGCAGGTCTCAGACGTTTACCACTTCGGTGAAACCCACGTGCACGGGTATGGTGCTGACAAACCTAGAAACATAATTGGGGCGAACCGGGATTCGAACCCACAATCATAGGTTTCCGGCGTGCCCAAGGGACACAACTCTGCACAGCGAATCACGGCGCCTTAGACGACTGGGCCACCCGTGCCCCCCTCATTAACAGGCTACTGTCCCGTCTGTTTATGGTGGCCTTGGTGCTCGTCACGCCGAATGCTCAGTTTCGATTCCCCTCATAGGTACAGTGTATGAAGCCTAGTCTGTTGTTCTCCTGCAGAGGTGTGGATGGAATATTCATAAAAGCTGTCACATCCAGATCCCGCGGAGACTGGATTAGTATGGGGTTCCCTACCACTTTGTTTGTTGTTGGACGCCGCGCTCAGCAATTTTCCAGCTACATGACGGCGGTCTGTAAATAATCGAGTCTGGATCAGACAATTCAGTGATTGACATCTACGCATCTGGGATACGATAACATGCATCAACCAAGTCAGGGAGTCTGACCACCCGATCCCGTTAGCTACCTCTTACGACAAGCGTAGTCTCCTCTTACAGCAAGCATGATTGCTAAAGACCCGGATCTCTACCCGGATCTTCACGTGTTCCGGGCAGTTCTTGGGATAGGAGATCGCCTCCGAGGTCTCGTGGATAGGGCGTCTGTCCAGAGAGAAGAAGGTCGTTTAATCCTGACTAGTACAAGCAACCACACACTCACTCACACACACGCACGCACACACACACACACACACACACACACACACACACACACACACACACACACACACACACACACACACACACACACACGCGCGCGCACGAATGATGCACGCCGCTATATACGTACCAATCTTGAGCTGGACGTTAAATCATGCCATAACGTCTCACTCATGGGATCGGATAGCCCGGCGATGTGACTGATTGCACGTCATTGTGCCCTAATGTTCTGGGACGATGCTAATGTTTCCAGTCATTGATTTGCCAGGCCCAGACTCGCCGTGATATAAATGGAATATAGATAACTGCAGGGTTTAACAACAGGAACAGTCTGCCCTTAGAGTTAGCCGGACAACACAGCATCGAGTCGGCCTACACAGACACTGGAGGATTTTACGTTCCCACAGATGACGAGATTGCTTTGAATGACAAACGTCATTCGTGGGTGAAAAGAGCTTTTGTTTTGTCAAACATACTCATCAGTAAGCGATCTATTGTTGATAATGTTTGATAGCCACCTTCCTATAGGGGCACACCCTAAACAGCTATAGGGGTGCACCTTCTGTTTATAACGAAATAGGTGTTGAGCAAGGATTTGCAAGTTTAATAGGTGCTCTGGTAGACCATATGTAAACATATTACATAAACATGCATAACTATATCATCTGAAATGCTGACAACAAAGTTAATACGAAAATAGCTTCACGAATAAGTTGCATTAATCTGGCGCTTGTACATGTATGTATATAACACTTGTGACTCAGAAACCTGTATCCGCTCTTGATGTCATAAATAATTGATTTTTATCTTTTAAGAATATTATCAGCCGAGAACAGCCGACCGACCTTTGCTCCGGTAGGGTTGTCTGCATTCGTCACAACTCGCCCATTTCCGTAACCTGTAAGAAGTTCGTCATTGCTCCGAAATGCCCGAGTTGCATTCGTGACCAACTCGTGTTATTCCGGGACAAGCCGAATAGCGACTCGTGCCCCTCTCATGGCCATTTTTGCGACCGGGTTCCGTCTTAGCGCAAACGGGCCTACCTAAAACAATTGTCAACTCTTTGAGTAACGGTTCACATATATTTCCCCATATATAATATTTATTTCAGATGCAATTTAAAGCACATCTGGACATGCGGAATTATACAGTATGATTGAACACATTTAACTGTGTCTTGGGTATATTTTTAGATGCAAGACATAAGTAAAATCAAAAATTATTTCTGAGGGATTCTTTGACGAAGAATTTGAAATCATTCGCGCATTCTGATTGGTTTGTCGTATTTTCGCACATAACATTCATCGATAGGGGGACGAGTCTTCTTGCAGGTTACGGAAAAGGGCGAGTGGTGACGAATGGCCCGAGTTGGTCACGATGGGACAGTCGGTAGTTTCCGTCGGTCAGCTTTATCTTCATTGTGGTGTATTGTCTGGAGAGACTGCGAGATGATAACACAAGATAACTGAGTTTATCAGGATTTTTGTTCTAAGATGATAACCAGCGTACACTGATTATTCTTAGTATACATATTAAGCGTACTGGTAAGTAAAACTCACACCTTGAATATATTGTTGCGTTTACATACAGGTGAGTGAAACCACGCTAATTCTTTCAAGATAAGGTGAGGTAAAATGGGGTTTAACGTCGCGTCCAAGATTATTGCACTTATACAGCGACGTGCATGCATGTGTGTGTGTGGCTGTTTGTACTAGTCCGGACTGATGCCGATTTATAGTGCTATCCCACTGAGATACCATGCCACAGTTTAACTTGAATACCCCACTCAGACACAATATTTCTGATGGCCCCCCGCCGTGATATTGCTGGAATATTGCTAAAAGCGGCGTAAAATCAAACTCACTCACTCATATCATTTTAAACATGCCTGTGTTGATTAACATTTTGGGGAAATTATTGATCGACTGTTTAATCCTCTTGCTACAGCGTCAGTGCGTCACACCACGCACAGGCATTGTAAATGGAATAAAATCTGACTTTAACTTTCATGGTTTGTGTATTTTTTTTTTCAAATTTGCATTTAACAAGGAAGCACCGCCGCTGTGGTCTAGTGGCAGAGCGATCCCAGGTCGTGTCATTAAAAAAAACCGTTAAAAGATGGTACTTGTTGTTAGCTGTCCCGGCTAGCACACACACTCATTGGCGTATTCAAACCGAAACTAGGTTAAGCCGCAGTAGACCAAATTATTTTAAAATAATTGTTTTAAAATAAAAATCCATGCACGTTCTATTCAATTACTCATAATTCCCATAACTTCTTCCGACAACTATTAGTTAAATATTAGGTAGCTTGACATAAAAAAAGATGTTTCGTTGTGTATGTGAGTGTGTGCGTGAGTGTGTGTGTGTGTGTGTGTGTGTGTGTCTCTCTCTCTCTACTCTTTCTCTCTCTCTCTCTTTCTCTCTCTCTCTCTCTCTCTCTCTCTCTCTCTCTCTCTCTCTCTCTCTCTCTCTCTCTCTCTCTCTCTCTCTCTCTCTCTCTCTAGGTTTCTAGGTTTGTCAGCACCATACCCGTGCTCGTGGGTTTCACCGAAGTGGTAAACGTCTGACACCTGCATCACTTCGGGCTTTCCTCCCACATTAAGCTACACACTGTGATATAACTGGAGTAATGTTAAAAGCGGCGTTAAACCCAACTCACTCACTCTCTCTCGCTCTCTCTCTCACACACACACGTGCGCGCGCACGCACGCACGTGCATTCACGTCGCTATATAAGTGCAATACTCTTGGACGTTAACCCCATTTGACCTCACATTTAACAAGGGAGCAGTCATTGCATTACAGTGTACAGGTATCCTGTTTTTGTTGTGTTGCAATTTGATTATAATAACATTATGGACATGTGTTTAATAACATGAGTGAATGCTGGATACATTCCCGGTCTGTGCTTGATCGAGGATTCTTTCAATAATCTATCATCCCTGACCCTCTGTGTTCTCCGAAGAGTGAGTGAGTTTGATTTTACGCCACTTTTAGCAATATTCCAGCAATATCACGGCGGGGGACACCAGAAATGGGCTTCACACACTGTACCCATGTCGGGAATCGAACGCGGGTCTTCGGCGTGACGAGGGAACGCTTTAACCACTAGGCTACCCGACCGCCCCTCTTCCGATGAGACACGGCTGGGATATCGCCAAACGTTGATAAACCCCTCGCTCCCCATCCCTCCTTCCCTTCCTCCTTTCCTCACACATTCACTCACTCACTCGCCGACCGCCTCCGTGGTCTATAGGTAGAGCGTCCACCCGGAGAGCGGAAGGTCCGGGGTTCGATCCCCGGCCGCGTCATACCAAAAGACGTTAAAAGATGGTACTTGTTGTTGCCCTGTCTGGCGCTCGGCTTTAAGGGGCTAAAACAAGGACTGGTCGGCTCGGAGTCAGTATACTGTGTCTGAGTGGGGTATTCATGTTAAACTGCGGCATGGTATCTCAGTGAGCTAGCATTATAAATCGGCATCAGTCCGGACTAGTATAAGCAGCCACACACACACACACCTGTGCATGCACGTCGCTATATAAGTGCAATAATCTTGGACGCGACGTTAAACCCTATTTCACCTCACCTCACTCACTCGCCTGTTTCCCATTTGTAGGTGTACAACCATGTCGAGAGCGCCATCAATCTGGTACCATTATCAGGACAACTTCCCAGGGGACATAATCCAGCAGAGCGTATGTGTGCCGGAAGATGGCGCCACCGTAGATACCTACTACTGCTGCATGCAGTGGAATGCCGGTCTGCTGGGAGGCGGATACTGTGGCATCCAGGACCACCCTCAAGGTAAAGCCTTCATCTATTCTCTGTGGGATCCTGCTCAAGCCAAACAACCTATAACGGCTGTATACGCGGGAGAGGGAACGGAAATCAGCCATTTTGGTGGAGAGGGAACAGGCCTGCATGCCTTCAACCTATCGTTGGGTTGGCAGACAGATAACTGGTATACCCTTGTCTCAAGAGTCTGGCCATATAAGGAGCATACGTATTACGGTTTCTGGGTACACGATGAAACGCAGAAGAAGTGGAGCCATGTCGTGACTATGGATTTCCCGCACAGCAACGTACAATTCAGCACATCCACTGGCAGCTTTGTTGAAGACTGGGTCGGGACAGGGAACAACGCAAGACGGGCATTCTACCGCTCTGGATTCAAGCGTCAAATAAAAGGATGGTACCCTTTCTCTGTCGGCACCTTCAGCGTCGTCATGGAACCCCCCAGCGCCAAACACGCCCACAACTACGACGCTGGTACCATCAAGGACTACTTCTATCTGGCGAGCGGTGGTGACATTAAACCCACGCCAGGAATTGGTACCAGCCATACGTTCCATCTGTCAACTGCGAGGGAGCCAAAAGAGCCGTATATTGACTTCGCCATCACCAAGGCAAGTCCTTCGGGTGTTGAATGGGCTGTACCATCTTCATCCACACCTCAATTCAGGTTCAGCGTCTCTGTGGGAGGTCGGACAGTTGCATCGGACATCCAGCCTGAAGTTAGGGGTCAAGCACTGACCGGATGTGATCCTGGAGACGTTGTCACGGTAACCCTTGAAGACATTATGGGTGGCTGCGAAGCGAGGTCTGTGAAGATCTCTGATGTCTCTTGTCGCTGTCCTGGACACATGAAAGTATCGTGTTCTATCGTCTAGTACATTGTATATTGTATTTAGTTGTTGCTAACGATACATACTTTAATACACATACATAAAGGACCCACCAATTGATATATTATAGGGTAGAGGGAGCTGGGATTGTGTATGGCGACTGGATACTTGTCAGCTATATCTGCAAAATCAAATCTAATTTCTCAAGTGAAACCATGAGCCTTTAAATATATTTTGCAACATTTATGTTCAAACCTTTACATATTCCTGACGGGCACAGATGGCACAGAATATTTATTAGACCACTTCCGGGATTGCGAAAAGTCCATCATATAGATACCAGTTGCCTTGATATGTTAGTAAACTAGTGTTGAAGTGGCCATCGTTTAATCTGTTTATACTGCTCACCAATTTCTAATCAAATGCGAAAATACATATATGTTTTAAAGGAGCACCGGGGTTTAAACTTCATGATGACACAGGACAGTGTGTAGTGTGTTTAATAAAGAATACGGTTCACATAATGCGTAACTAACATGTTGTTTGTTTCTGACAATGATGATGCAATAATGATTGGCAATCATATTACTATTTGTGTGCCTTAAAATCTGGATAGAACAATTAATAAAGAGTTCTGTATGTTAAACCTTCTATCTATTTTCTTAAACTCTTTAAAAAGGAGGCTTAAGTTACTTTCCATTTGGCCTCGTATTCGTCTTCACAAGCCGTGATGATCCGGGGTAGAATAGGTCTTCAGCAACCCATGCTTGCCATAAAAGGCGACCGTGCTTGTCGTAAGAGGCGACTAACGGGATCGGGTTGTCAGGCTCGCTGACGTGGTTGATGCATGCCATCGTATCCCAATTGCGCAGATGATGCTCATGATGTCAATCTCAGGATTGTCTGGTCCAGACTCGATTATTTACAGGATGCCGTCATATAGCTAGAATATCGCTGAATGTGGCGTTAAACAACAAACAATCAAACAAACCATAGCCACATGAAATATCTGCTTAAATCAGAATCGATTGTGCGATTCAGACTATAACGCCGAGTGTGGCGTTAAACAACAAACACACACAATTGCGCTACTAACAAAGTAGCTCAATTTCTACTTTAAAGACATGTGGCAGACTTTTTTTCAATATTCTGAAGCACGTCGACATAGTTTGTGCTCCATCGAGAAGTCAAGTATGGAATACGAGTGCACTGCGCTATATGATATAGCAATAGTAGAGTCGTACGGCATCCAGATCTCGGACATTGTTCTCGAATGGGACCGCTTTCCTTGTGAGAAGTGTGTGAGTTTAGCACCGCTTTGAACAGTATTTCAGTTAATGACGGCGCGTTAGCTTGATGTGTGGTCTTCGACATTCACCAGTTTGGACAAACCCATGAGCCCGAATATGGTGCTGTTAGTTGTGATGATAATTCATGACATATGTGGCATCGTCGACTATACCTGAAAATCATTCTATGACTACTCAATTTCATATCAGATGCGGGGGCACGGGTGGCCCAGTCGTCTGAGGCGCCGCAATTGACCTGCATCACTTCGGGCTTTTCTCCCACATTAAGCTGACACACTGTGATATAACTGGAATACTACTCACTCACTCTCATATCAGATGCTAGGAGGTTGGGACACAGGTCGTAGGTGAATATAAGGAACTTTCCTAATTCTGGTGCCGATACAAATAATTGTTTTGAAGTAAGTCACATGCAAATTGTCCCTAATGTATACTCACACGCAAACGAAACGCAAGTCGAGTATGCAGTATACATGTTATTTATTTTCAACAGTAAAGACAAGAAATACTAATAGGGCAAGATTAACAAAAATTTGACTGAAGACAGTTAAATGGATTAAAAGGCAGATGACATAATTGATTTTTTTCAAATGTTAAGGGCTTACACAGTTTCGGGTCAATACCCAAAAAGTCAGTCAATACCTGGTGTGACCACTGTCACACATCTCCTGTATATTGAGTGCACACATCCAGAGCAGCTGTGCGTAGTTCATCGGCAGTTGTAGGGACTGCGCGCACATTGTGCAGACGCCTTTGAACCTCATCCCACAAGTGTTCGATGGGGTTCAGATCAGGGCTGAGGGCTGGCCACGGTAGAACACGGATGTTGTGTTGTTGCAGAAAGGCCATGGTAGCTCTGGCAACATGGGGACGATGCTGGAAAATGTGTTGTTGATGTTGTGCAAAAGATGGAACAACGTGGGGTCTGATCACTTGGTGGATATACCGCTGAGCAGTGACGCCGTGTCCCCGACCTTGACCAACATTCAGAAAGAACATGGGTCCAAGACTCGCATTAAGTCCAATCCCTGCCCATATCATGACACTAGGCCCACCCCATGGATCCCTTTCCACAACGTTTCTGTCAGCGAAACGATCCACTCGACGCCGCCAAATTCTGACTCTTCCGTCTGCATGGGAGACACAAAAGCGACTTTCATCAGAGAAGATGACACGCCTCCACTCACGATGACGCTAATTGCGATGACCCTGTGCCCACTGAGGTCGAGCTTGTCGATGCCGTGGTTGGAGAACAGGGCGACGTGCTGGTCGGCGACATCTGAGGTTGTTAGAACGGAGACGTCGGATCACAGTGTCCCGGCTAATGTGTCGATTATGTGTTCCTGTGTGTGTCGAGCACTTTCACTTGCAGTTAGGAACGGATGTCGCTGTCGTTGACGGGTAATCTGCCGATCTTGTCGAGGTGTGGTGACCCTAGGACGACCGCTCCGAGGAAGGTCATCTGTGGTCTGTGTAGCATTGTATCGATGTAGGAGACGGTAAATTGTGGTTATGTTAACGTTGAAATGACGGGCAACATCTTGGACAGACTCTCCAGCTTCCAAACGTCCGATAGCCTGGTTTCTCTGAATTTGAGTAAGGCGTGGCATTGTTGACCAAGGAGTGGTAGGTCCAAGAATCGGCCACAGTTTTATACCCACTACAGTTCGTGACAGTTCGTGCATTTTCGATTTCGCGAGAAATGGGTGCATGATACCCACATATTCATTGAAATGGTGCGTTTTGGCGATTAATTTTTTAAGTTGCGTTTTTACTTGGGGCTTCCAAAATGCAACCAAAAATATTGATAACACCATCAGGCTTCACTACATGCTAAAACTTTTGCGTGTGAGGATATTTATTAGGATTGGGAACGCCTCCGTGATCTAGTGGTAGAGCGTCCGCCCGGAGAGCGGAAGGTCCGGGGTTCGATCTCCAGCCGCATCATACCAAAAGACGTTAAAAGATGGTATTTGTTGTTACCCTGTCTGGCGCTCGGCATTAAGGGGCTAAAACAAGGACTGGTCGGCTCGGAGTCAGTATACTGTATCTCAGTGTGCTAACATGTCTAAGAAACCAATCAACAGTTGTGTATTGTGCGAATCATTTTTTAAAACTTAAAATAAAATTATATTTAAAAAAATAAAACCATGTATATTCTTTGAGTGCTGCCTGAAACCAGCACTGTTCATTGTTTGGATATAATATCTCTAACTTAAGATACAGTCAACTACGTTTATAACGAACACGCTTATAACGAACTGACGGATATAACGAACTGATTTTTTTGTCTCTAACAATTGCTGTAGTTATGCTGTATATATGCTTATAACGAACTAAAATAAGTGGTCCCTTTGAGTTAGTTATGACCGTAGTTTACTGTACGTTTAAGAAAATCAACTTGCTCATCAGTTAGAACAGTTATCACTCAGGAAACTTAACGTTTTATGAGTAATGTCTTTCTTAAAAGTGGTCCTTCCACGCTCACCTTTTCGCGAATGCCTGGCATCATCCCTCTTTGATAGTGGTTAATAAACATATATTCCTGATACAATCGGAATCGTACAATGGAGTTTGCTTTTAGCAGAGATTTCTTATGATTGTGGAAATTGTTGTGTCTCTTTTATTTATAGTATATGTATATGTACACTCGCCGTGAAAAGACTGGAATACTGCTCAACGCGGAGCTAAACCCAACTCACTATTTGTTTGTTTGTTGTTTAACACCGCACCCAACAATATTCCAGCTATATGACGGTGGTCTGTAAATAATCGAGCATGAACCAGACAATCCAGTGATTGACATCATGAGCATCGATCTACGCAGTTTGGATACGATGACATGCATTGAACAATTCAATGAACCTGACCACCCGATCCCGTTAGTCGCCTCTTACGAACACACGGGTTGCTGAAGACAAATGTACATCACTAAGGGCATTACCAATCATCACTAATTTGTAAATCGGTTACTTTCCGACCATTTTCTGTATGGCGGAGTATTGGTGCAGGTGGAGACGCTGACCACCCGATCCCGTTAGTCGCCTCATACGACAAACAGATACCCCTCCTACGGCAAGCATGGGTAGCCACAAACCGACCCTAACCCGGACATTCACGGGTCTACACACACTCCCTAACATGCTTGTAGCATGGCATGTTGAAGATGTTTTATGATGTACTGCAACATTCATAATGGTAAAATTAGTTTAAATATGAAAAGTTGAAGCATCGACATCCAGCTCACCTGTTCAATTCAATAGGGTGAAACCACAACACGAGTGTTCTGCATTTCCAACATGCGCGGATCCCAGCAACGGAGATTTCAAATAAGATTTATGTTACTGGTTTCCGTCTCCTAATCAGCGCACTGCTTGAAAAGTAAAAGACGGTCTCAAAACCAGTCAATCACTATATCTAAAATATCAGTACACCTGCTGGAAACACTCGAGTCTTAAGCTTGCTTTTCACTTGAGGAAACGCAAACCAAGATAAATTATGCGTTCCGTTCAATTTCTGTCAACACGAATTCCGGATTTGATAACATTAATTATTCTTTCAACAGGTGTTTCCAAGATGTGAACATGCATTGACGCAAATGCACTTTTTAAAAATGATCTGTCATGGTACATTCGAAATCGAGCAGAAATACGAGAAAGAAATTTGTAATGCATAATGTATAATTTTTTCACATCATTGGAATCACTTATCTATGATATTTAAGTACTGGCTTCCATACCTTCAGCGCTAAATACTGTAAAGTGTTGGCTTCCATTGTCTATTGTTAATCGCCTATCAGCGTCAATCACCCGTTGGCTCCCCTAGTTAGTTTCTACCCTTTGTTATTTTCCACCTTTTGTTATCTTATTAATTTTGTTGTCCTTACCTGTACATATATATGCTCTCTGCCTCTTGGCATTCACTCACCTGATGAAGGAGTAAGTATAAACTCCGAAACGCTGTGTTCCTAATAATAAAGAAGTTGACATCCATATATTCTCTTCCTTATCATTTGAATACATTGTTGATATATTGTCATGTATTAAATACGAATCACGACAACATCCATTTCAAATGTGATTGGACCCGTTAAGATCCCGGGGTAGAAAAGGTCTTCAGCAACCCATGCTTGTCGTAAAAGGCGACTATGCTTGTCGTAAAAGGCGACTAATGGGATCGGGTGGTCAGGTTTGCTGACTTGGTTGATGCATGTCATCGATCCCAATTGCGTGGATCGATGCTCATGATATCAATCACTGGACTGTCTGGTCCAGACTCGATTATTTACAGGCCGCGGTCATATAGCCGGAATATTGCTGAGTGCGGCTTTGAACAAGAAACCAAACCTGTTTGTTTCGTATCGATTTGCACCTAATGCTACTATCAATAACATTTACTGTTATCGGTGACTCTCGATTTACATTCATTGAAAATGTCAATTTACACATGATGATAAAATACATGAACAATTCCGTGAATGACTCGGTGTTATACAGACGATCGCCAATCTCATTATAATCAGATATTTTATTCCGACTCGATACCGCTCTCTTAACGGAGAAAGGTATCAACAGAAATAAAAGATCTGACTTTAATTAGATCGAGACGATTAGTTTTGTTAACAGCTTGCTGTCAAACGCTCCACACAATTTGTCAATGGCAAATGAGCGATAGACTTAGGTTATTCCAGAAGCATACAAAGAAAGGGGCGTATGACTGCACCTTGTCTGATACGACAGGTAGTTTAACATGGGGATTTACGTCACTCCTTGACGCTTTACCTGTTGGCATAGCTGTCCCATCCCGAGCAAACAGTGACGAAAAAGTATAATTAATTAGTTGACTATCTCTTTAATGTTAAGTCGAATACCTAATCCGATTAACAAGGCGATTAGAGAATGCCACAGTGTCTAGGTGAAAATGAATGAGGCGTAAGAGGTAGTTTCCAAATATAAAGAAAACGATATAAATAGCCAACGTCACAGGACTACGTCAATGCAATGATTTATTCTGGAAAGTTAAGAATTCTTCTAATGAGATTCCTTGCATTTTTACGAGTTTATCGATTGTTTTCCATCCCCACGCAACTAATCCCGATAACGAAGGTATAAAAACCCGGGCCATTGCCACAGCGGTAGACGAACCCATCACGACATTGAACAACACATTGGCAAGAAGCTTATCCTCATACTGGAAGAAACACTTTGGCGGATATTAGAGAGATTATATTGGTTTCTTGTCCAGTTTACGACATTTCAAAGGCAGACATTAAGGCTCATTGATTGAACTTGTGACAGAAGAGATTTGTTTGTGAATTTAAGTGTTCATTAAACCTGGTCGGTGAAAATATTGGAGAAGAAGCGGTTTCCGCGTTTGAATATTTGAAGAGAGATTATTCCTGCTGTGACTGGACTATGGACACTTGCATGACATTGTTGATTCTGGTATGTTTTGTTTCTGCTACGTTGGGAGCTCCTAGATATAACCAGGTAAACAGCGTGTATATTCCTTCTTACCACTGACCCGTGAAGATTCCGGGGTAGAATAGATCTTCAGCAACCCATGCTTGCCGTAAAAGGTGACCATGCTTGTCGTAAGAGGCGACTAACGGGATCGGGTGGTCAAGCTCGCTGACTTGGTTGATGCATGTCATCGATCCCAATTGCGTGGATCGATGCTCATGATGTTAATCACTGGATTGTCTGGCCCAGACTCGATTATTTACAGACCGCCGTCATATAGCTGGAATATTGCTGAGTGCGGCTTTAAACAACCAACCAACCAACCAACCAATCTTACCACTACTAAAAGCATCCTTGTTTCAGTATGGACCAGTCGTCTAATGCACAGCAATTCGCGGTGTAGAGTTCTGTCCCTTATGCGTGCCAGTATCCTATGACTATAGATTCGAATCCCTCATTCGCCCTAATAATGATCCTTGGTTTGTCAGCTGTTGGTTTCAATGAAGTGTTAAACGTCTGTTTATTTCCCACATCAAGCTGGCGCGCCGTGGTATACATGTAACTGAAATACTTTTAAAGCAGCGTTAAATCATACTCACCCGCAAATCTTTAGAATACAGTAAACTACTTTTATAACGAACACGTTTATAACGAACTGACGGATTTAACGAACCTATTTTTGTCCAACATCTGCTGTATATATGATGTATATATGCTTATAACGAGCTACGGTTATAACGAACTAAACTTAATGGTCCCTTTGTGTTCGTTATACCCGTAGTTTACGGTATAGTTTATAGTGTTAGAGAATCCTTAGGCGATTTTACAGGTGAAGGGGTGACTGACAAATACATTCGGTTAAACGTTGCTTTAATTGTAAATGTAACAGTATTTTATAAAGTAAAACTCGCGACCCCTTCAGTACGGAAGACCTTCCTTCCGGACCATTTCTTTTGTTTGTTTGTTTGTTTGTTGTCTAACGCAATATTCCAGCTATATGACGGCGGTCTGTAAATAATTGTGTCTGGTTCAGACACTCCAGTGATTGACATCATGACAATGAATCTACGCAAGTCCCAAAATACGACAAGCGTAGTGGCTGAAGCCACTGCTTACATGACTGAGTGGGTGAGTATGGTTTTACGCCGCGTTTGCTCGTCGACCGGGCTAGATTCCAGACATTGGTACATTGTGTGAAGCCCATTTCTGGTGTTCCCCGCCGTGATATTGCTGGAATATTGCTAACAGCGGCGTAAAAACATACTCACTCACTATGATGTTCATTTTGTTTCGCAGCCCCTGAATGTGCGAGACCCGCTTGCCCGCCTACAACTGCGTAGTTCACATGGTCTGCCGAAGCCAGACGAGGAGCTTGATGTGGACAGTCCTGAGTTTGAGTTTGACATGGTGCTGACGCCGCTCCAGCGCTTGTACATCGCCACTCATTCCGGCGAGACGGAACCCAGTGAGGCGTGGAAGCGGAAGGCCATCGTTGACGTGACGAGACACTGGCCGCAGGCCACCGTACCGTACCAGATAACATCGGGCCTCAGTACGTAGAGCAAGTCGCATTTATTTGTATGACATTGTCACAGATGTAGCGCTATGTAGTGTTGATGTTTGGGACAGTCGTATTGACATGTATTGACATAGTCCTGAGAAGTGAGGTGAAATGGGGCTTAACGTCTACAATTATTGCACTTACACAGTGACATGCATGCACGTGCGTGTGTGTGTGCGTGCTTGCCTGCGTGCGTGCGTGCCTGCGTGCGTGCGTGCGTGCGTGTGTGTGTGTGCTAGCCCATTGAGATATCATGCCCCAGTTTAACATGAATACACCATTCAGACAGAAAACTGATTCAAGTCGAGCAGTTCCTGTGGCATCTTCCCGAGGTAAGAGAGTTAACTGACTTTAAAAGTCCAGTTTCCACCCTTACCGAACTTGGCTGGAATTCCTGGGCTCGATCGTAGCGCCACTAGTGGCTATTACGAGCTATGTCCCTTCTATGCCTCTCCTATTGACCAGTCAGATTTCACCTCTCGTACCACTTGCATTTGCTTCAAACAAAAATTGCGGCGCCCGGTCAAGACGATCTGATCGATAATCAAGATCTATATTGTGTAAGAAACGTGTTTTACATCGCCAAGTGCATCAAATCACGTGAGCACCTTGATTAAAAACATTAAAAGATTGGGAAAATATATGTTGACAACGAGTTGGCGGTGCACATGCTTTGCAACTCCATAATACCAGCCTAGTTCGGCAAGGGTGGAAACTGGACTTTTATAGTCAGTTAACTCTCTTGCCTCGGGAAGATGTCCCTGTGGTATCCCCTGAATGCCGAGGGCCAGGCAGTGTAACACCGTCTTTATGACGCCGACGGGAATCGAACCTTCGACATTCCGCTCACCGGGCACAAGATATAACCGCATCACCACCGAGGCGGTATCATATATCCTGGAGGAGGGCGCATGTGTATTCTCTGTGTCACTGTATTGACCTCGGGGCAGGCTGGTACATGGTCAAAGCATTCGAATTCCAACATGTGTACAATGTGTGAAGCCCATTCTTGATGATGCTCTCTCACAGCTATCTCAAAATGATTTGTATACTCAGTCTACTGTAGGGGCGGTCGGGTAGCCTAGAAGTTAAAGCGTTCGCTGGTCACGCCGAAGATCCGGATTCGATTCCCGACATGGGTGCCCCCGCATGATATTTTGCTGGAATATTGCTAAAAGGGGCGTAAAACCAAACTCACTCACTCATTTTACTGTATATGTTCTTCATTCACCCCTGACGTAGGCATAGGTGACCAACTCGTTGTGGGGTTTGCGTTCTTAGATGCAAAGAATACCTGGATGACAGGCTATTGTTTGAATATTGTTAAAAGCGGCGTAAAACCATACTCACTCAGTTACTTACTTTTTCAGAGCAGTACCAGATCCAGTGGGCGATAGATGCCATGTCTCTGTGGGAGAACAGCACCTGTATCAGGTTCTACCCCAGGTCACCCCTCCTGGCCTCCCAGCTCGGACACGACGACTACGTCAGCTTCACCAACGGCTCCAGGTACGCCACAATACGATACAATATGTCACAAAATGTCCTCAGCGGTGGGGTCACCTTATGCTTAAAGTGTTGCCTCCTCGCGCCGAGGTCCAGGGCGTTGTTGTACGAAACGATCTTAGCGCTAAGGTGATCGTAACTCCCATACCTTAACGCAGACTTACGACTGTCGTAGTGATAAGGTTATTTTGTACATGAGCACCCTGAGTTCGATTCTCCACATTGGTACAATATGTGAATCCCATTTTGGGGTCCACAGCAGTGGTATTGATAGCATATTCCTGAAGGCAGCCTTAAACCCCATATAACATGTCCAGGAAGAAACCGCGTAGTCCTTCCTTTCTAGTTCTAGTCTCTCATTGCAAGAGACACACACACAAAAATGCCACCTTCAGGCATCAATCAGTTGGCCACATAAACAGTAGTTGACTTTCACCAGTCTGTTATTTAAGGAAGCACCCTAGCTTTTCCAACACGAGCTTCACTGTACATGTTTGTCAGCTTCTACTTCTATTTTGTAAAATAATTAGCTCTAAAGACAAGAATATTTACACAATTTCTTGTAATTTATATGTACGACCTGAAATATGTTGATTTCTTTCCAGCTGTAGAACAATGGTTGGGAGGGTACCCGGTGGTCAAGACCTTTCTGTTGGTCAGTGCAGCGTAAGTAGCATAACGGATACCCCTGTGAAGATCTGGGTTAGAATTGATCTTCAGCAGCCATGCTTGTCGTAAGAGGCGACTAACGGGATCGGGTGGTCAGGCTCGCAGACTTTGTTGATCAATATCGTATCCCAATTGCGTAGATTATGCTCTTGATATCAGTCACTGGATTGTCTGGTACAAATTTAGTTATTTTTAGATCGCCGTCATATTGCAAGAATATTACTAAGTGTAGCGTTAAACAACAAATAAAACAAAACGAAATGGATTGCATACAATTTACAACGTTAATTTTCAAACGATGCATCATGTCATACCTGAGAAGGTTTAATAAGATCATAATAATCTTTGCCTAACTGGTGTTAGCCTAGCGAGTTATATAAACGTATTTAAAACTGTACAGTAACTGCTTTTACATCATCAAAGAAAAGATATAAAATGGTTGGATTTCATATTTAACAGGGTATTACTCATACATATTGTGAATACATGCAATTAATTCACACTGCGACCCCCAAAATAATAATCTAGAGCCACCTAGACTCAAAAAAAAAAAAAAAGTAAACTCCCTGTGTAAATTTATTTTTTACGTTTTTACATATCAGAAAGGTTCGATCATGCACGAGTTGGGTCACACGATAGGCTACGTTCACGAACAGTCGCGACCCGACCGTGACGCTAACGTGGACATCATCGAGAACAACATCATACCCACCAGAGAGTCTGACTTCAAGAAGTACACGTCCAAGCTGGTCAGGACCTTTGGCCTCCCTTACGACTATGGCTCCATAATGCATTACAGCTCTACCGTAAGTTGTTACTCTCTCTTACATAGAGATCGTAAGTTGTTATTCTCTCATACAGAGCCATCGTAAGTTGTTACTTTCTCATGCAGAGCCTTCGTAAGTTGTTACTCTCTTTCTACATAGCGATCGTAAGTTGTTACTCTCCTACAGAGCCGTCGTAAGTTGTTACTCTCTCATACAGAGCCATCGTAAGTTGTTACACGCTTATACAGAGCCATTGTAAGTTGTTACCGTAAGTGTTTACTCTCTTATACAGCACCATCGCAAGTTGTTACTCTCTACTATAGAGCCATCGTAATGTGGCAATCTCTCTACTATAGAGCCATCGTAATGTTGTAATCCCTTATAGAGAGCCATCGTAAGTTGTTACTCACTCATACAACTCCAGCATACGTTTTAATCTCATGCACGTCCATCTGCGTTGTTACTTTTTCATACAGACCCATCGTAAGTTGTTACTCTCTCATACAGACCCATCGTAAGTTGTTACTCTCTCATACAGACCCATCGTAAGTTGTTACTCAAGTTCTCATATCTACAGCTGCTCCGTAAGTCATTCACCATGCCTTACGCTCCACCTCTCGTATCTTGTCGTTGTAAAACCATCATGATCATGATAATGAGATACGTGCAGTAGGTCCATGATTGTATTATTTAGAGGTCAGATCACAAATGTACACTCCCCAGGAAGCGGAGAACGTGCATGGATTTAACACCGAGGAAACAGTTTCTTTGGGCACAGCCGTCTATCTTGCGATTTGTGACAATCATTATCACATGTAATTTTATATTTGGTATAAACATGCGGTTCCAGGTTTTAAAGCGTTTTTTAACCACATGCTACTGCAGCATCACCGTGGTTCCTATGACAACTAGGCGGTTGGGTAGCCTAGTGGTTAAAGCGTTCGCTCGTCACGCCGTAGGCCCGGGTTCGATTACCCACATAGGTAAAATGTGTGAAGCCAATTTCTGCTGTCCCTCGCCGTGATATTGCTAAAGCGGCGTAAAACCATACTCACTCATTCACCTTCATGACAACTAGGGATTCAATATCTCAATGCCATTTTTTATGCAGGCGTTCTCCAAGAATGGCGGATTGACTGTCCGGACACATGACCCCCATCTACAGATGGTCATTGGTCAGAGAAAGGACCTTAGCTTCCTGGACGTGCAGCTGGCTAATGACTTGTATAAATGTAACGGTAAGTCAACACTACATCCTTTCGGGGCTTTCTATTATGGGGGGCACGGGTGGCCCAGTCTTGTAAGGCGCCGCGATTCGCTGTGCAGAATTGCGTCCCTTTGGCACGCCAGAAACCTATGATTGTTGGTTCGAATCCTGGTTCGCCCCGATTTTGTTTCTAGGTTTGTCAGCACCATACGCGTGCTCGTGGGTTTCACCGAAGTGGTAAACGTCTAAGACCTGCATCACTTCGGGCTTTTCTCCCACATTTACCTGACAAGCCGCGATATAACTGGAATTCAACTAAACTCACTCACTCACCCACTTTCTTCTATGGGTTTGTCCATACAAAGAACATACAACAAATTCCGGGATACAGTTGCTCCCCTGCAGCCTTCGCTGGTGGTATAACAGAATAGTGAGTGAATGAGTGAGTTTGATTTAACGCCGCTTTTAACAGTATTCCAGTTATATCGCGGCGTGTCAGCTTAATGTGGGAGGAAAGCCCGAAGTGATGCAGGTCTCAGACGTTTACCACTTCGGTGAAACCCACGAGCACGGGTATGGTGCTGACAACCCTAGAAACATAATCGGGGCGAACCGGGATTCGAACCCACAATCATAGGTTTCTGGCGTGCCTAAGGGACGCAACTCTGCACAGCGAATCGCGGCGCTTTACACGACTGAGCCACCCGTGCCCCCTTTAACAGAACAGAGTAAATGGACCGGGTGGTCAGGCTCGATTGCGCGTTGTCGTGCCCCGGCGGCGTGGATGGTTGCTCATAAATTGAACTTTCACTGGATAATCACTTGATTGTCTGGTCCAGATTCGATTATTTGCATGCCGCCGTCATACAGCTGGTATAATGCTGCGTGCGGCGTTAAACAACAAATTAACACATAGATGAGTACGCCTGAATCCACAGCTCCATCCTCCATGGGGCAACAATTCGCTGTGCAGAGTTGCGTCCCTTAAGAGTTCCAGGATACCAGGTTTCAATCCCAGACTCGCCCTGAATTTAGTTCCTTGATTGAAGCGCACTGATACCCTGTTCGTGGATTCTACCAAAGTTGAAGTTACAATATGGTTGAAATAAAGACTCAGTAGTTAACTGACCCGTGAAGATTCCGGGGTAGAATAGGTCTTCAGCAACCCATACTTGCCGTAAAAGGTGCCTATGCTTGTCGTAAGAGGCGACTAACGGGATCGGGTGGTCAGGCTCGCTGACTTGGTTGTTACACGTCATCGATCCCAATTGCGTGGACCCATGTTCATGCTGTCAATCACTGGATTGTGTGGTCCAGACTTGATTATTTACAGACCGCCGTCATATAGCTGGAATATTGCTGAGTTAAACAACAAACAAACAAACAGTAGTTAACTGATCAAGTTGTAATGTCTACGTCATCTTCAGATTTTCTACCATGCTATAACTCCCCATTATGTCCGGAATACTATTCAAAGCGTTAAATTCACCAACTCAAAATGTTGATAAGTCGGGATTGTTTTTTCAGACCACTGCACCACCCACAAGATCTGCAACAATAATGGCTACGTGGGTCCTGACTGCACGTGCGTGTGTCCAGAAGGACTGACCGGCGACACGTGCGATCAGCTGATGGCCTCGGATAAAAGTCAGTTGAAAATATAAATACAAATTGCTTTCATTATTTTTGCTTTTTTTTATATTCAGATTTTCCATACATTTATTAAATATCGTATTAAAAATATCGATAATAAATGAACGTAGATAAGTCGGGACCGTCTTGACAGAGATCCGGATTAGACTGATTCCAGTTTAGACAGGTTGGACTGTATGAGTCAAGTCAAAAGAAGTTTATTGTAAAAAAGGCCTCCCGCCCAAAAACATGGTACAAGAAAGAGTTAGGCATATAGATACAATCATAAATGTTACACATTGGGATATACACGTTGTTTGATTAATTCATTTCTTTTGGCTAATGCATGCTTAATATAAAGAGAAAGATTTAATATATGTGATTCGTTCTTTGTCGTCAGCATAACTACAAAGGCGTTTATCGATGACATTGCTATTAAATAATCTTTTATATATTTCTTTCGGAGATCATTGTAAAATGGACAGACAAACACAAAATGAATTTCATTTTCTATCTCTAGATTACACAATGGACAAACTCTTTTATGACAGGGGCCTACCTAATATTCCTGGGCAGCCTGAGACAGATATATTTTCAGTCAGTGTATTCTCTGAAGAGCCAAATAATTCAAATTATCGACCCTTTTAGCGACGTATGTAATAGCAATTAAATGTGTAGAGGTATATCTCTCACTGAATAGGCGTTGTGATTGTGTGTCATTGATCTGCCTCTCCTTCAAAGGAGGCACATTTTGTAAACACTGGTGCCAGATACATTTTATCCATATTTTTGGCATATATAGAGCGACTGCTAACGCAAATAGCTATATATATATGCCGAAAATATGTCCTAACCACGTGATTAATTGTTTGTAATAGTTAACACATAGGTTCCCTGATGACCGAAAAAAGTAACCCTGTTTCATTGTAAGTGTGAACCCCTTATTTAATGTCCCGTTATATCTTTACCATTGAAATTCAAGGTTATTACCAAGTGGGGTTTGTGTCTGTCTGGTTCCCTGTGCGTCGTAGGTTTTGTAAATGCTCAAATATAAAGGACCATTGACTATTTCTTGGCATTTGAACGAATAGACGACGTGAAGTGTGTATACTCAATCCTGTTACTATTGCAGATTGTGGGGGCGTGCTGAACGCCACATCCGGGTCACTTCAAACACCTGACTACCCTATGGATTATCCACAAAACGCTGACTGCTATTGGTTGATTCAGGTGAGTTTATGAAAGAATGGATTTCATTGGCTCAAGAAGTACTTCTGTGAGCCTATAAATTCAAGGTCAAAAGTTCAGATTTTTTATCCTCGAATGTGGGCTGATACGCTGCAAGAATAGTTGTAGCACCAAAGAGAATTTTTTTTTATTATTCATGTCAATCTTACACATCAACCAACATGATGATAATTTTGAACTTCGATTTTTTTGTAGCAATGGGATAATAGACCCTGAAAAAGATATGTTAAAAACAATGTGGATTTTCGTGTGACAAAATTTTGACTTTCAACCATTCAAAACTCAACATTCGATGCGAGTTAATTGATATAGTTCACCTAATAATAGTAAAACCTAATAAATTGTGAGTCAAAGTAAAACCTTAGGTTTTACTTAAACCTCAAATCAGGACTTAATGGGAAGGTGAAACCTGCCAGTGTATATTCAAAGTGGCTCCAGGGCGGCAGGGTAGCCTAGTGGTTAAAGCGTTCGCTCGTCACGCCGAAGACCCGGGTTCGATTCCCCATGGGTACAAAGTGATAAGCCAATGTCCCCCGCCGTCCAGGTACTTGCTCAAAGGAGAAAAACCCGGTAGGGAACAATGGGATGACGTCACCGGATGTTTATAATGTTTCCTCATGTCAATGCTATAACAGTATCCTCTACGTCAATATCTCCTGTCATTTTAGGGTCCTCCTCGTTCCAACATCGTGTTGACCTTCGACGCGTTTGACACAGACAACGAATTGGACTGCCAGTGGTGTGCTTGTGACTATTTGGAGGTCAAAGTGTACGGCTTAAACAAAGTGGGTCAAAGGTAAGTCGCTTTTGCTGTCATCATCCAAAAAACAATTTGGAGTGGAAATTTTTTTAAAAATATGGATTGATTTTCCTTGGTCATTACATCTCCTTTGTTGAGATATATATGCTTTTGAGACCTACCAACCTGATAAAGAAATCAGAAACCGCAAATCAGTCGTCCTAGGCTGTGCACAGTTGCATCCCTTAGGTGTGCAAGAAACCTATGATCGTGGGTTCGAATCCCAGATTCACCCTGATGTTTCTAGGTTTGTCAGCACCATACCCGTGCTCGTGGATTTTACCAAAGTAAAAGTCTAAGATCAGTTTGGGCTTTTATTCCGCATCAAGCATCCAAACTGTTTAAAGGCGAGTGAAATTGTGTTTAAAGCGGCGTTAAATGTATCTCACTCACTGCCATATAAAACAGTCAACCTTATTCTCATGCATTGGGAGGCGGTCGGGTAGCCTAGTGTTTAAAGAGTTCGCTCGTCACGCCAAAGACCCGCGTTAGATTCCCGACATGGGCACAATGTGTGAAGCCAATTCCTGGTGTCCCCCGCCGTGGTATTGCTGGAATATTGCGTAAAACCATACTCACTCACTCTCATGCTTTGGTTTAGGTACTGCGGCACGTATGTGAAGAACCCGATCGTCTACAACTCAAGCTCCCTCCTGCTACACTTCCATTCCGATGAAATCTGGACCATGAACAGTGGCGTCAGGTTCTCCTACAAAATAGTCACGTCATGACGTCATAGTGTATCGTCCAATCAGGACACGCAAGACAAACATTCGTAGAACTTGTCCAAGCGGAGACTCACGCCACGAAGCCATCATACAAGTGAAAACCTACGAAAAAATGCTTAAATTGGACGTGTTCTTATAAGGACAAATGTTTGACAGTGGGCGCTGCTTGATTGGCAGAACACTAATAAACGTCTTGTCATCCATTTCCAAAGATTGTATTTAATTTTCCGATGTGGAGATTTCCATTGCAATCTACAAATGGCATGCACAGTACTGGGTCATATACAGATGGTGCAATTGTTTGTATGAATCATTTCTGCAATATTGTAATGGTTAGAACTGAACCTGAGCTAAAAAGCGCATGAAACTCATTTATAGAAAATAATTATGTATTGTGTTATTATTGAAACATAGATGGGTGGTTGGGGAAGCCTAGTGGTGAAAGAGTTCGCTCGTCACCCAGGGCCGATCCCGCGGTTGTATGACTGGAATATTTTAAAGGTGGCGTAAAACACATTATCATCCAAAACTGGCTCCCACAGGAGATATCGCTTGGATGAGATCAAGCGATATCTACACTGTAGATATCGCTGCAATGAAATTACATCACAATGCTTTGCAGGCCATTGTGACGTCAATGGCTACCATGACGTCACAATCAAATGACATCACTATGGCTCTGCTACTGAAGCTGTTAGCAGTACTTTTTACAGTGTAGACACTGCTAATTACTGTCTACAAATTGAAAAAGTTGGAAGAATGATGTTGGATGATAAATAAAATCTCACCCTCATGTCTTTTGATATCAACAATATCATCAATCGTTGATAAAAGTGGCACAAATCTTCGGCAAGCCTCGGAATTTTTCCACTTTTATCAACTAGTGTTGAAATATTTGATATCAAAAGACACTCAGGTGAGATTCTCTATATTCACTCACTTACTCACTCACTCACTCACTCACTCACTCACAAACAAACTAAAGGATACCAGATTTAGGCGGTCGTTATCAGTATCACAGAGAGGCCATAGCAACTTGTCAGGGTTCAAAGTGTGATAATTCACCGGGGCATGAACACACACTACATTTGTTTGTTGTTTAACGCCGCACTCAGCAATATTCCAGGTATTTTACCTACGGTCTGTACATAATCGAGTCTGGATCAGACAATCCAGTGATTGACATCATTAGCATCGATCTACGCTATTGGGATACGATGACATGCAGTAAACCAAGTCAGCGAGCCTGACCACCCAATCCCGTTAATCAGTTGCCTCTTACGACAAGCATCGGTTGCTGAAACCCAATTGTAACGCGTATCTTCACGGGGTAAAGTCTACATCAGCTGGATCGCCGTTAATGGGAGTATAAGGACGGTATTACCATACATGCCACACATTCATGGGATATCTGTTCCTCGGTATCTCATTGTAAGGTTGGGTAGATGCCCGGAGGTCAGTTCGAAACACGCATATGTACAATGTGTCAAGACTATCCTTGTCCACTTCCAATACACTCATCTGATATAAGATCACTTTGAGGAAAGACTAAACGCCATTGCCTGTTTCGCAAGCGTATGTCACTGTCGAAGACCTTGAACCTTTAGCTGGTGTGCGTTCTTGTGTGTGCTTGTGTGTCTGTATGTGTGACGATGTTTTACTGGTCGTTTCAAATCAAAACGTGATCATATCAGTAGCTTACCCTTGGATATTTCTTGAGCAATAAAGGTCCTTGACCCGCGACAATATAATCCTTTAGGTTTGGTACCTCGCAAATCAGTTGTCTGACATTGGGACAGTACCCGGGTTTACCGCCAAGAATACAGCCCTTCTGATAATCTGGGTCATGCAGAAGGCTGCAGTGTGGGGGAGTCTATACTTGCTCCGAAAAGTTCTCGGAAGTCCTATTCGTTGTCTGGGCTGCGTGTAGTGGGGGCAAGGGCACTGAGGTGATGATGAGCCTAACCAGCCTGACTTTGCCAGGATCACCCAAACCCTCTTTGCTGCATTAATGTATTTTAATCTGTACATGGTAATAAAATAATAGTTATTAATTCATTTGTAGAGCTCAACATGAACACACTCATTGTGTTTTGTAAGTTTTTGATACAGATAATAATATGAAGGACAGTGGTGATCAATTAGGAAATGATATTTTGAAAGTAGAGTTATCGTTATCTTCTTGACGATTGTCAGATGTTGCGAAGATTTAATGTCATGACAACGCATTCCATTTTATGTCTGATGCATATTGAAATGCCCTCTTCTAAAAGTAGAGGATTGTGTATGTGGTATATAAGCATCTTTTCTTGACATATTACGCAAACTTACTCGCTTTTCCTAAACCGTTGAGCAGAAATTTAACACGTTAACACCGGAGTTAGATTTTCCCGTTTGCTTGTTGCTTAACGCCACAAAATAGTGATTGATATCATGAGCACGTCCCACGTCGTCGGAGTGCGCAATCAACCAAGTCACCGAACCTGACCACCCGATTTAATACGTCGACGAGCGTCGGTGACTGGCGGCCTATTCTAACTCGTAACCCAACAAGCCCAAACTCCGCCATTTTTACTGATAATGATGTAAAGTATTTGGTATATCAGCTTAGCGTGTTGTTGTACTTTGTTTCAAAATAATTTCCGATGTTTGCGTTACACAAGAAAGCAACCCTATCATCACCTTTTCCTGCATGACCCTTAACTTTTACTTTTCAGGATATCCCTCCTGTTACATATCAGTTTATACAATAGGTTGATCAAAATAATACAAAGCTAATCAAATAGAACGTCACACTATTGCAAATGTAAAGCCTTGCCTAATACCACAAATAGTCAAATGGTTGCAGACAACCTTACAAGAAAGTTACTTGCACTGTTGGTCTATTGATGCACATCTTCCCGCGCCAAGGGAAGTAACTGAGTATAGAAGTCCAGTTTCTACCTTACTCATTCGTCACCACTCGCCCCTTTCCGTAACCTGCAAGAGGACTCGTCCCCCTATCGATGAATGTTATGTGCGAAAATACGACAAACCAATCAGAATGCGCGCATGATTTCAAGTTCTTCGTCAAAGAATCCCTCAGAAATAATTTTTGATTTTACATACGTCTTGCATCTAAAAATACACCCAAGACACAGTTACATGTGTTCAATCATACTGTATAATTCCGCACGACCTGATGTGCTTTAAATTGCATCTGAAATATATATAATGTATGGGGAAATATATGTGAACCATTACGCAACGAGTTGACAATTGTTTTAGGTATGCCCGTTTGCGCTAAGACGGAACCCGGTCGTAAAAATAGTCATGAGCGGGGCACGAGTCGCTATTCGGCTTGTCCCGGAATAACACCAGTTGGTCACGAATGTACCTTACTAAGAAAGATATATTCACTTCCGGTCTAGTTACCTTGACCTTCAATCTCAGCCATAAGCTGCAAACTTGCCACATAGGTAGTGTTACAAACATAGTTTTATTATTACTTTGTCTGTAACAAAGTTGAAATACAGTCGTATTCACACTATTTACATGTCATTCCATGTGTGAACGACTGACACATGGCATTAATCAAAGTATCTTGAATATATTGAATGCCACATAAAGGCATGATGAAAAATATATTCTCATTTATTGCCGACTGTGTAAAACGAGGGCTTTGCTGACCTTTCGCAAATTTCCAACCAAAAGACACAAATTAGCATGGTCGCAAGCACTGTGCTCCCGACCAAGAATCATGTGAGGCCAGTCTCGGATTCGATCACAAGCGGATCCTAGCATGACTACGGGGTGCAGGTTTGTGTTTAATGCCACATCTTAAATCAGCAACAAAGAGAATAGAAGTTTAGAAAACAACTTAAAAACCGGCTACTGACAAGATAAGGACGGTCTTTACTGAGTGGAATGTGTCTAACCAAAACAGAATTTAAATTCATATTATCAAAATAAATATCGTTTCAAATATACACATTTCGATCAGATAAACGATACATCTTTCTCTGAGTGACAAACAGTTTCAAACAGTCAAGATAATTATTAAACAAGCATGGACCAAAATTTAATAGTATTTCATGTTTAATATTCCAATGGCATACCACACACCTCGGTTATTGTATCATAGACACAGAGACAGGTCCAAGTCTACTGGAGTCCAGTGTTGTTCGCCGGGTCGTTAGCGCCCTGCATGATATCGCCAGTCGATGACCGCCAAATATGTACATACATACAAACACAGCCGCCCTCGATGTGACTGACGTAGCAACGCCTTACAACGCTTGTTGTAATCCTAGGCGTTTGCTAAATCTTTACAATCGTGGGTGTATGTTTAAAACAGAACATCCTGTTTGTCTGACCGCCTGTACACTTTCCAGATAAAAGTTACCCAAACAGGAACGACTGAACCCCCGGGGGCGTTAGACTGTTGACCTCTGTGCGATAATGTGCCCTCGTGAGGTATGACAGCACTGACTGACAGAATATGAGTGAGTGAGTGAGTGCAGTTTTACGCCGCTTTTAGCAATATTCCAGCAATATCACGGGGGGGACACCAGAAATGAGTGAGTGAGTGAGTATGGTTTTACGCCGCTTTTAGCAATATTCCAGCAATATCACGGCGGGGGACACCAGAAATGGGCTTCACACATTGTACCCATGTCGGGAATCGAACCGGGGTCTTCGGCGTGACGAGCGAAGGCTTTAACCACTAGGCTACCCGACCGCCCCTACACCAGAAATGGGTTTCACACATTGTATCCATGTCGGGAATCTAGCCCGGGTCTTCGGCGTGACTAGCGAACGCTTTAACCACTAGGCTACCCGACCGCCCCTGATAGAATATGAAATGCGTTTAAATAGATATATGAATTATATTACTTTACATAAAAATGGCTATGCAGGAATTGGTATGCGTTTGTGAAGTAATTTAAGGAGAGACGCAAATGACCGATGATTGAATTAAGGAACAAGAAGAGCACGGCTTTTGCTTTAGTGCTGTGAGAAAAAGCTCTCGGACGTCACATTATGTTTTCTGTAGGATATTGATAATATGTCTCGCTACGTTTTCAACACTATCAACTTGAAAGGGCTTTAGACATTGAACCAATGTGATCGATTCATAGTGCCTCTAGTGATAAAAAACATTTGCAGAATCAGGTGAGGTGAAATGGGGTTTAACGTCGCGTCCAAGATTATTGCCCTTATATAGCGACGTGCATGTACGTGTGTGTGTTTGGGCATAACGGGCGGACGCTCTACCACTAGACCACGGAGGCGGTCAACAGAATCAAAAGAGATATCTACTAAAAGGTTCACTGTACGATGCCGACTATATCATACGTATGTGCTTATAAATCACTGTCAAGTAATGAGGATACCACGTGTTCGTGAAAAGGTGAGCGTATCCTGACCCACCGGTTGTACCCATTACACACACACATGCAAAGGCAAGTCAATAGTTCACCTGAAAAAAAACACAGGAACATATGGTACAACTAGTCAAAATAGGGAATTGCTTCGGACATCAGTTTTGTTACTGATGCGTCAAATATGGAACAAATCTCCACATTTCTACCATAAAACGTTTTGCAAGCTTTTTCCAACTTTGATCAAACAACTTTTTAACAAGAGTCGTTTGACGCTCTCTGAAATCAAGGCATATGAGTTTTGATTGGAGCTGCTGGGACATTGCACGAAATAAAGGGATGTCACTGAAGCTAAGTCATCCCTCTTGTCATACAATCAGTGGAGGGATGCATGGATCCAAATATGAAACAGATGAGGCGGTTTCATTGGTCTCTGATACTTCTAGTTTAGGTGAGTAAATCAGTGGAAGGAAATTGGCTAATGCATAAATGCATAATTTTTGCGGAGGGAAAATAAGTCTCAAATATCGACATCAAATATGATCGCACATCGACACCTTCTGCCACCTTTGTCGTAGGTGAGACGCGTCAGTTGTATCCAGCATCGACTTACATATTACCTTAATTAATTGCAGAATTTCGCTTATCAAAACAAAACCGTGTCTCCCATAACATGACATTTAATAGCGTCATACATCAAGAACGTTAACGTAAATGTCAAATAGAACAAAACCCCTCGAATCAATATCATCTGTACGTGGCCTTTTCAAAGCTGCCCCTTTTGTTAAATAAACATTCACGAACCATGGAATGTAAATTCTCGTAAAACATTTTGAACAATCAACCCAACACAAATACGCCGTCGATAACCGAACCGTTCATATATACATATATGCATTGTCATATCCAGCCTACATACATACACAGCAACCACATCTACGTTCAACCCGTGCAGTCCGCGTGACCTCCCGCCCAAGAATGTCCTCCAAAATAACTTTCACCTCTGACCTCCGAGTGGCTACAATTTTACAACTTCTTATTTCGGGATCAATATCACGAATTATTTCCGCGCCATCAACAGAAACCCTGAACGCAAACTGAGGTGTCGAGGATTCTGGGACGGACCACGTGACTTTCTTTGACGTCACTTCCTGTATTGTAAAGTCCGTGGTACAATTGGACGGTTCTGATTCAGCTGCAGATGAACGTGGGAATTGCCTGTCAGTGGCCAAAATGGGATTGGGTGTGGTCCCCTTGCCAGTCTGCATGAAGAAGTCATCACAGTCTATACCACCATCGTAATTGTCGTTGTATAACCTACAAGCATCTTCTTGGAGCACATTGAACGTCGCCTTCTGGAAGGGCAGCCAGGCACCATCGGGCGTTCTCTTGTAGCCATTCTTGAAGTTGACGCGTCTGTATTTGTCCCCATTGCCAATCCAGTCTTCGATGAAGCACACGGTGGGTGTCTCAAAGTATATTTCCGACACAGGGAAATCCATGGAAACGAGATGGAACCACGTGTTGGCAATCTGGTCCCGGGCCCAAAACCCGAAGTAGGTGTGTCCTTTGTAGTCCCATCTCCTAGCAACCAATGTGTACCACTGATCTGGCTTCCATCCGATGCTGAAATTCATCGACTTCAGACCGGTTCCTTCTCCGCCAAACTTTTCCGTCTTGGTTCCTGGATGTCTGTAAACCGGTTCTATGGCCTCGTTGGTTGTTGTAGGATCCCAGATTGAGAAGATGTAGCACTGTCCATCCGGGTGCTCTTGGATACCACAGTACCCTCCGCCATTGCGGCCCCCATTCCACTGCATGCAGCAGTAATATGTGCACTGAGTGACCCCATGGCCAGGCACATGCACGTCGTGCATCAGGATGTCGCCTTTCTCCCGGTCATCGAACCACAGATGACAAGACGGAGCCCGGTTTCCGGCCATTGTGCGCAGATTAAAACGTATTTTCAGTTGACCAGTTGATTTCAGTTGACCAGTTCGTAGAGTAAGCTACTCTGCAAGCAAAGACAAGCGGTATGAGTAAATATGTAGCAATTATCAGTTTAATCAATATTAGCACTGCACTACAATATCCAAATTTCAGAATGATATCCTTTTGACTATGAAGCAGTAGTGGTTTATTTCAGTAAATCAGGCCACAGGCCCATTTTACAATATATATATTCAAGCATTCAAACATGTTGCGCCACAAGTGCATGTAGTAATATCAATACTAATCAGTACAAGGGTATCTGAGACCATATACATATGGTGGTAGAATTAGTAGTTTATATAATGGACAACTAATTGCTCCTCATTTTAAGAGCAAAGAATGTAAACTTGGCAAGATTATTGATTGTGAAAGCATTACTGGTGGTAAATAAAACTTTACATTTATGCTCTGATGGAGATGTATAATAATAACTTGGCAGAATTTTTCTTCTAAGATCGTCATAAAACGGACAAACTAAACAAACATGGTATTCTGTTTCTACACTTGGAATGATACAAAATGGACAAAGTCTTTCACACTTTGGAATACCTAACTTTCTACCCTGTGATACTATAAGATCACTGCTCGACGTGCGAAACTGTGAGAGAATAATCCTAAATGCAGCAATATTCACAACACTTAAATAATTTTCATATTCATTTGATAGCTTAATTGTTTTATACAAATATAATGAAGATAATTTGTCCAAAGATTCCAAGAGACACTGGTTATCAATATCAATACATCTTGTTCTAAAAGCGGATATAAATGAATGGATACCAGAAACTGATTGTCTATTCCAAATTTCACCATATCCAAAGGAAAATAACAGATTTTTAACTTTCAGTGCCCAGCAATCTAGACCCTTTTCTGCCCGGTCATACTGGTACACATACGTGTGATATAAGATATGAAGATAAAATCTTGATTCCCTTTCTCTTTTTTCATAGGTTAAAAGGTAAATGTGCACAAGAATAAGAGCTTGAACAAAACAACGTGTTCTATACATTACGATATGTTCTTTAGAAATGCAGTATATTAATTATACGAAACATTTCATGGAGTTATTATAATTGTTCTCTGGCTTCACGGGGCGGTGGGGTAGCTCAGTGGTTAAAGCGTTCCCCCGTCACGCCGAAGGCCTGGATTCGATTCCCCACATGGGTACATTGTGTGAAGACCATTTCTGGTGTCCACCGCCGTGATATTGCTGGAATATTGCTACAAACGGCGTAAAGTCAAACTCACCCACTCACTCTCTGGCTTATGTACTGAATAATGTGGGTGGATGTATGCGCATCTGGACTAGACAAACCGGTGATTAAAAGCACGCATAAAAATCATAGTTACCAATAGATCTCTGATGTGGTCGCTCTTACGACAAGCATGTGTTTGTTTGTTTGTTTGTTTATTATTTAACGCCGCACTCAGCAATATTCCAGCTACATGACGGCGGTCTGTAAACAATCGAGTCTGGACCAAACAATCCAGTGATTGACATCATGAGCATCGATCCACACCATTGGGATACGATGACATGCATCAAGCAAGTCAGCGAGCCTGACCACCCGATCCTGTTAGTCGTCTCGTACGATAAGCAAAGTCGCCTTTTTGTGACAAGCATGGGTTGCTGAAGACCTATTCTACCAAAACAATGAAACTGCCGAGAACAGTGTCCGCTCAGCCCTCGATGTAGTGGTGGCAAAATGCGACTAACATCTATGAATGGCGACCTAAATTTATCTGTAAATGTCTTGTATTACATCGGACAGAGCCCCGTGTCAGTAATCATGGCAAGTTTCGGTTATTGATGTCCTGCCAATGTTAACAACGGACTGGTCGTGTCATAAAACTATACTCGATACACGACAAAAGGACAGCTGTGCATATTCCTACTGTATACGTTTGTGGAAAACATTTGTCGATGATATTGATGTTGTACACAACAATCATAGTGGTTGTGTAGACATTATCACATAAACAGTACAGCAGTGCAAAATTGAATAAAACATGAAGCCTGGACTCGGGAACTAACCAGTGTATTTATTTAAATTTGAAGAAACATAAATAAGACGTTCCTGTCTGAAGCATCCTGAGAATGAAGACCTATAACACGTGTATGTGGAGGACGAATATCTTTTCTTGTTGATTTATAACGCATATGGTTACATTCGACAGCAGTGTATTCCAGAAAGGTTCCATGTCCATCTAACGTTATCTGAGTTCAATATTCTAACGCCAAACCGAGAAAAATCTTTAATTAGAAATACAGCCATGGTTGTACATCACGCAATGAATCACCGTTTGGTCATACTGTCTTCTGTCGACCCTCAAATGTACCATGGGCTGTAGGTCTACACAAGTACTGAATAAAGATTTAGATTTAACACGTGTAAAATATTAATTTTTAAAAAACAGTCTATTCGTCAGCACGTCAGCGTACGGTGAAATGTTTCATTCAAAGGAATCGGATGTTATCAACTGAACTGTCCTGTCTCCACTGAAAATCTGAAATATTTTTACTTCTACCAGAAACTAATTCTCCGTGGGCCTAAACTGTGACAAGGGTTACTACGAGTCATCTGAAGAGGACCTTTCCTTCACAGAAGCCTTCGAGGATGTTTTCCTTCCGAGAATGTCCTCAAGGATGACCTCGACCTCTTTTCCAGGAATTGTGATGTCACGTGACCTCATTTCGGGATCAACATCACTCGCTACTTCTTTGCCGTCAACAATGATAGTGTATGCAAACTGTGGTGTAGCTGAATCGGGCACAACCCACGTGACCTTGTCTCTCGTCGCTGCTAGTGTGAAAGAAATAGGAGCGTTACAGGGCTCTGGCGCTGCCACTTTACCCCCGCAGACGTCACGACATTGAACCAGCTCCGCACACGGAGTCGTTCCGCACCCCGTCTGCATGAAGAAGCCGTCACAGTGACGCCCTCCGTCGTAGTTGTGGTTGTACATTTCGCATGCCTTTTCCTGCACGACGTGGAACTTGGCATTGGCAAAGGGGTGCCAGGTTTGGTCTTCTCCTCTCTTGTATCCATTCTGAAAATGGACTCGCCTGTATTTTTCCCCATTGCCTCTCCAATCTTCAATGAAAGATTTCGTCCTTGTCTGGAACCAGATACCCGGAACCGGGAAATCCATGGTAACCACATGCTCCCACTTGTCGCAGGAATGGTTCCGGACCCAAAACCCGAAGTACGAATGCCCTCTGAAGTCCCACCTTCTTGTGACCAGCGTGAACCATTGGTCTTCTTTCCAGCCAATGTCGAAGTTCATGGACTTCAATCCCGTACCCTCTCCACCAAAGTTTTCCACCTTAGTTCCAGGGTGTTTATACACGTGTGTAATGGCTTCCTTTGTTGTCTGTGGGTCCCAGATGGAGAAGATGTAGCACCGACCGTTTGGATGCTCTTGGATCCCACAGTACCCTCCGCCGTTCAGACATGGGTTCCACTGCATGCAGCAGTAATAAGTGTACATTGTGACCCCGTGACCGGGCACGTGCACGTCGTGCATCAGGATGTCACCTTTCTTGTGGTCGTCAAAAGTCAGGTGACAGGACGGAGCTCTCTTTCCTGCCATCGTCACCTGATCCTCTTTGCAATGAATTATGAACGATCTGAAACAAAAACGGCGCGAATGAGTTCAGGTGCAGAGAGAGTAAGTGAGTTTGTATGGTTTTACGCCGTTTTAAGCAATATTTCAGCAATATCACGGCGGGGGACACCAGTAATGGGCTTCACACATTGTACACATATGTGGAATCTAACCCGGGTCTTTGGCGTGACGAGCGAACGCTTTAACCACTAGGTTACCCCACCGCCTAAGGTACAGAGAGAAATTATTGCTTCTTACTAATTCAGTGTCGGAGAGGTCAAAAACGTCTGTCTTACGATTAGCGAATTCGATTTGACGCACCTTTGAATACTATTCCAGAACGTGAGAGGGAAACTCATTTCGGAGACGGTTACATGCTGATGAAACCAACACGTACATGTATGATACTGACGACCAAGGAGTATAACCGAGACGATCTGGGTTTCAAAAGAACATGAATGGATCCTGTCACAGATAAGGGCCACAACTCTGCACGGGGTGTCGTAGCACCCGTTTCACGATTATTTTGTAAACGCCTTCCATTACATTATTCAGAAATATGTTATTAAATTGCGAAGTGCAAAGATGGTTTGACCGTAGGTTTGTATACCAGATCCGTGCCGATTATGATCCCTGGATTGTGAGCATCACCTGTGCTCGCTGATTTCATCAAAATGTAGAATGTCTACTATCTGAGTCTCTATGAGTTACCATTGTCACACCAAGCTACCACGCCGTGATGTAACTGAAATACTGTTCAAAGCAGCCTAAAAACGCAAACCACTTCCAAAGAACAAGGACTGCCTCCGTGGTCTAGTGGTAGAGCGTCCGCCCGGAGAGCGGAAGGTCCGTGGTCCGATTCCCGACCGCGTCATACCAAAAGACGTTAAAAGATAGTACTTGTTGTTACCCTGTCTGGCGCTCGGCATTAAGGGGCTTAAACAAGGACTGGTCGGCTCGGAGTCAGTATACTGTGTCTGAGTGGGGTATTCATGTTAAACTGCGGCATGGTATCTCAGTGAGCTAGCACTATAAATCGGCATCAGTCCGGACTCGTACAAGCAGCCACACACACACGTGCATGCACGGCGCTTTATAAGAGCAATAATCTTGGACGCGACGTTAAACCCAATTTCACCTCACCTCCAAAGAACAAAGCCCATATGATGTAGTATTTCCCTAAAACTAACAACATATTGAGACAATAAATATAGGAAGTACGTGTAAGATGCGTCTACTCACCAATGTTAGCCCGCACGTCGTGGCCGGAATGGAGCTGTATGTATTCCAGACAGCCTCAGTGCTATTAGCACGCTCGTCTACTGGCGCCAGCTGGTATCGACTTCAGTGCAAAAGCTTTTAAAATTCAACACAACATCGATGTTATGTTCTAGATGTCTTCTCCTTCGAAGACCGGTTAGATGTGCAGCAATAAATCTCTGATCTGAGATTCAATACCTCGTGTCAACTGGGCAGAAAGCATCAAAAATATATCTGGGGGGTATAGTGTGGTTCACATTCAATGTGTGTAAGCTCAAAAGTACTGCTGGTACAATTGAAGCGCTAAATGACACAGCTGTGGTTATTACTGTCAAATTTCAGCCCTTGGAGCTAGCATTAAACTAAGATACCGTGACAATGCTATCTCAAGTTCACATCAAAGTAGGGATCAGGTCGGCAAAGCGCTCAAATTCGCTGTGCAGACTTGCCCCCTTAGGCGTGCCATACAACTATGGCCGTGGGTTCGAATCCCAGAGTCGCCCCGATAATGTAAATGACATTTTTCAGAACGATACCTGTGCTCTTGGGTTTCACCAAATACCTGCATCACTTCACTCTCCTCGCATCAACCTGACGTGATATAACTGAAATACTGTTTAATATGTGCTGCTAACCCCAATCACATCAAGGTATGAACTTGAATCCATGCAAGAGAAATTGACTAAAGATATGACATGTACGCATCCTCTAGTCTCCAGGTTACACTTCCACTAACCCCTGGATCCATACCCGTTGTTCTTGCGATCTCAAACTACCCGGGTGGTCAGACTACTACCCGGGTGGTCAGACTACTACCCGGGTGGTCAGGCTACTACCCGGGTGGTCAGGCTACTACCCGGGTGGCTAGGCTACTACCCGGGTGGTCAGGCTACTACCCGGGTGGTCAGACTACTACCCGGGTGGTCAGGCTACTACCCGGGTGGTCAGGCTACTGCCCGGGTGGTCAGACTACTGCCCGGGTGGTCAGACTACTACCCGGGTGGTCAGGCTACTACCCGGGTGGTCAGGCTACTACCCGGGTGGCTAGGCTACTACCCGGGTGGTCAGGCTACTACCCGGGTGGTCAGGCTACTACCCGGGTGGTCAGACTACTACCCGGGTGGTCAGGCTACTACCCGGGTGGTCAGGCTACTACCCGGCTACTACCCTGACGGGGTTGATTGCGTGTCATCATACCCGACGGCGTGGATCTTTGCTCACAAGATCAATCACTGGATTGTCTGGTCAAGACAAGACTTTTTACAGACCGCCGCCTTATAGCTGGAATATTGCTGAGAGCGGCGTTAAACAACAACAAAAAAGTCGTAGTAGTAGCAGTAGTAGTAGTTTGTTTGTTTGTTGTTTAACGCCGCACTCAGCAATATTCCACCTATATGACGGCGGTCCGTACATAATCAAGTGATTGAGCATCAATCCACGCAATTGAGAAACGGTGACATGCATCAACCGAGTCAGCGAGCCTGACCAGCAGATCCCGTTAGTCGCCTCTTACGACAAGTATGGGCTGCTGAAGACCTATTCTACCCCGGATATCATCACGGGATCTTCACTGGTCAGTAGTAGTAGTAGTAGTAGTAGTAGTAGTAGTAGTAGTAGTAGTAGTAATAGTAGTAGTAGTAGTAGTAGTAGTAGTAGTAGTAGTAGGGAAATTCCCGAGACATGGTGATTCGGACAAACCTAGGATCTTAATTGGGACGAATCTTAATATCGTAATCCTGATGGTCGCTATATTGCTGAAATAATGCCGATGCGACGTTAAATTTCAACCTACTCACTCACGTAATCACGATGGTCGGGTCCAGCACTCCCGACTGGGTCGCTCGTGTCCTGGAACATCCTACGATCGAACATTTATTCCCTCCCACGTTACTACCAGGCGATATTACTGATCGTAAGTTACTACCTTCATTAAAGGACAACGTCAACGGATGTTATATCTTCACTGTGGACACAAACACATCACAAAACAACTGTGAACTTGTAACTTGTGTCTCAGACAAATAGCAAGATTCTGCGACGACACATCTTGCAGTAATTTATGACCTTCTGCCTTTGATCATTCTCTGGGCAATAGAATGGCTGATATATGGCGTTTGTGTTATCTTTTCATGGGTTCAGAACGTGTTTTTTGTGGTCATAAATCTTACATAATTAGGGGATTATATAATCAATAGGAATAACGAAGAATTTGGAGTAAAATTTGCGTCATGAAAGCGCTGGACAAGATCTTCATGTTAAACAACAAGAAACAACAAACTATCTACTGCAACAACATAAATTAAATGACTGAGGAATAATTTGGACATTGAGAGCGAAGTGTCTTCGTGCTGTTGTCGGATTATCTGTGTGTTTTGTCATGTCAAACGGGTAGCATGACAACATGACAAAACAAACCGATAACACGAGGACTCAGTTGGACGTCATGTTACCATATTGGGTAGTTATGTCATTAGTTTCAGTCGTTATGTTACCAATTTAGGTCGTTATGTTACGTATCAGTTTGGATCGTCTTAATATCAGAATGGTCGTCATGTAACCAGTTTCGGTCGTCATTTAACCAGTTTGAATCGTCATGTAACCACTTTGGTTCGTCATGTAACAAGTTTCATCGATCGTCATGTAACCAGTTTCGGTCGTCATATAACCAGTTTCAGTCATCCTGTAACCAGTTTCGGTCGTCATGTAACCAGTTTCGGTCATCATGTAACCAATTTTGGTCGTCATGTAACCAGTTTCGGTCGTTATGTAATCAGTTTCGGTCGTCATGTAACCAGTTTCGGTCGTCATATAACCAGTTTCAGTCATCCTGTAACCAGTTTCGGTCGATCGTCATGTAACCAATGTTGGTCGTCATGTAACCAGTTTCGGTCGTTATGTAACCAGTTTCGGTCGTCATGTAACCAGTTTAGGTCGTCAAGTAACCAGGAAGTGTCGTCATGTAACCAGTTTCGGTCTTCATGTAACCCGTTTCGGTCGTCATGTAACCAGTTTAGGTCGTCATGTAACCAGTTAGTGTCATGTAACCAGTTTAGGTCGTCATATTGCCAGTTTGGGCCCGGTTTCGTTATTCATATTTCAAAGTGTGGCTTCTTTAGAGTTCTGCAAGGATTCGTTGGTCGTGATACCATCGCGATTATGACCTGTGCTCGTTAATGTCTCCAAAGAGGTAAAGCTCGATGACTTGCGTCCCTTTTGCTGTTTTTTGTAACAATAAGCATGACAAACGGTGATACAACTATTATACTGTTAAAAGCTCACTTCCGTTATTTACCAAACTTACTCAGTACGAACCCACTTGTTACTAGCTACCCTATAAATGTGAATCAACAAAACACCGCCTCCGAGCCTCCGAGCGTCAGCCCGGAGAGTGGAAGGTCCGTGGTCGCGTCATCCCATAGAAGGTTAAAAGATGGTGATTGTTGTTACCTTCCTAGCGATCGGCATTCAAGGGATAAAACAAGCAATGACGTGCTTTCAGTATACTGTGTCTGAGTGGGGTAATCATGTTTAACTGCGACATTGTATCTCAGTGGGCTAGCTCTGTAAAAAAACAACACACACACACACGCACGCACGCACGCACGCACGCACGCATGCATGCATGTAGCCGTACAAGTACAATAACATTTCACCTCATTTCACTGACATTTCTATCAGTTGAATATCAGGTACCGCTGTTGCCCAATTTTCACATGGAATTTCACACGGAAATGTATTTCGTAAAACCACACACCGTAGAAAATCAAGTTGTCACATGGAAAACCGTTAGAATATTTTATAACGGCCCCAAAACACATATACATAAACAGTTTGATGAGAATAGAGATATCATGAAATGTTTATTCAGGTGTAAAGCCTTGCTCAGGCTGTGTAATCAAACGTGACAATGATCGATATCTGCATGCAAACAACATTAACAATACTGGGATGGGCTATCCACGTCATCACACACGTATACGCCAGTGTCTTGCCTTACCTTGTACGTCTTATTTTGCCTCATAGAAAAGTCCTATGTATGCACAAGAACTCGATGATAGCGTGAAGAGCATAACATATACGTAAAAAAATCACACCCCTCTATACATATAGTCTATATGTATAGAGGGGTGTGATATGTTTTCGATACGAATATATTATGCTTTTTACTAGGGCTGGGACGAGTCCAAATTTACTACCCGGGTACCGACCCCGATACTACCCGACCCTACCCGGGTACCCGCTGTAGGTATCAAGAGAAAGGTACAAAATGTCCGATTGAGAAACGTTTGACCGTACTCCTGTCCAAATAATTTAGATACACGTATAAACCGATCTGGTCATGCATACACTGAAGTTGACTGATGTCTTATCATTATGCAAACATATAAAGTCAGAAGGAATGTGTGTAAAGTCAGAAAGAAATGTGAACATTTATCACTTATAGTGTAACCATAGGGTTCTAGATAATTTTTGCCATTAAACAATATAATCACGTAACTAAACACGAGTCCGGGTAGTCCTATGGGTACCCAGGTCCTACTCATGGATCAGTACCCACCCGACCCGGGTACACGAGTTACCCGTCCAAGCCCTACTTTTTACGCTATCTTCGAGTAACTGTGTAAATATGTACATCGAGAATTTACCACTGTTCAACTGTAGGAAGCTCATGTAAAATCTCTGACACTCGCGATGATACGTTATAGCGGATGTCCCTGACAGTTTGTTAAGAGAAATTTAAAATTGGAGGTTATTTCTTCGTCTTGCGTGCCGGGGAGTCGAGTTACACGTGAAGTACACGCATAATCAAAGTAAAACCTTACCGTCCACGTATCACGTTTGCGGCTTCCGTGTTTGTAGCTAATGACTCGTCAGCAAACGCGGACAGTATAAGGGGGGTAACTCTGGCATCGCTACTTACATGGGACACCACTAATAATTGCTAACATCACACGTTACAACGTCTGAGATTGCACTTCTGGTGTTGTACGTCAATATGTTGTCCATAGCAGATAAAACATTCATAAACTGTATTTTATCATTGGGGCAGATATAAAAATTGTTATAAAAGGACATACTGCATTGTTTGAAGGAAAAAGTGAGTAAGTGAGTCAGAATTAGGGTCGCTTCTGCAGATCTCGAGGACCCCGTGTTCTGTCTTTCTGTCGAAGATAAACAGGTCAAAGACCATATATAGAGATTATTCCACTCGTGTGTGTGTCATACTGACTTTCAGCAACCCTTGCGTGCCGTAAAAGGCGATTATGCTTGTCGTAAGAGGCGACTAACGAGATCGGGTGGTCAGGCTCGCTGACTTGGTTGATGCATTTCATCGATCCCAATTGAGTGGATCGATGCTCATGATGTCAATCACTGGATTGACTGTTTCAGGCTCGATCATTTACGGACCGCCGTCATATAGCTGGAATATTGCTGAGTGCGGCGTTAAACAACAAACAAACCAACAAACATACTGATTTTACGAAACGAGTGTCAGAATTGTCGAATGACGTCAATCTTCGGCTATGACGTTGTTTGTAGTGAGACGTCATTCATATCTTTCGTCACAATAACATTCGGATGGGTCAACAATTAATCTTGGACGCGACGTTAAACCCCATTTCACTTCACCTCACCTTTAACTCAGCGTAATAGGACTTATATGCAAGAATATTACTTGGCACACAAACTCACTGAAGTGTAGTTTGCACTTTTAGATAATGAACTCTGTCACCATTACCCCCTAACGGCCAAAAATTCCAAGATTGCCCCCCAGAGATTGCTGCATAGACATGAAATATCAATACACTGTTGGTCTCTGATGACATACTTGAGTAACTTGAACTTCTACATTTGGGTAAACAGACCCAAGGATGCATGTAGAATACTCAATCATTTGCATAAATCAATATAACCACAACATATCTCGTAAATGACATGTTTTGGCGAATTAATATATCAATATTGATTGTTATTTTCTGTATCTCCTTATTACCATGACAATAAACACTGGAATGAACACTAATAAAACACTTGTTTTCATTAATATAAATACCAGTTGGAAAAACAATGTCCACATGAGGTCCTCTCAGAATTAATCCAAACCATTTTTTTCACAAGTAGTGGATGAATCATCTCCCTTGAAGTTCATTTGCGGAAATCCAATATAATCACCACATACCAATATTTGATTGTTTGTTTATTTGTTTAAAGCCGCATTCAGCAATATTCCACCTATATGACGACGGTCTGTAAATAATCGAGTCAGAACCAGATTATCATCTTTATTCCTCCATAGGAGAGTTACATGCAGTTCATTACGGTTATACAGATATTAACAAGAGAAATAAGAAGATTAGGTTAAGGGTCAGGATATAGTGTCAAACACAGTTTGTGTATGTTCTGGATCACAGTTCTTGCAAACAGTTCATTGTCTTCTTCACTCGCTTGTACAGGAGGTGTGCATGACAACAGACTGCACACTAGGTCAACGACACACATAGAGTGTAAGGTAACACTCAATTCAACTGGACAACAGTTGACAATTTCACACCACATACGATCCCTGATGAATTCTGATGCTCTGCAGTGGCATATCATATGGACCAGAAGATCATTATAACCTTTGTCACAACGTTTGCAGTGACCATGTACTTTGCCTGGACGCCAGAGTGCGCACATGTCCACAACAAATTTGCAGGAGTCGTTTAGTAAGGGCCAATGCTTAGCAACTTTCCATGCTTTGTTTGATTTTGTTGTGTATTTTTGAAAAAATGGTGTAGGTCCGGGTCTGTTTGTAGACGCTGTTGCCACTCCGAGTCAAGATGTTCTTCGATTTGCTTCTTGACCTTTTTCTTCCAGAGTGATGGTTTGCAAAACTGCCCTGTGTCCATGAATGCTGTTAGATGCTCAAACATGTTGTACTTCTGTAGAATCTGAACAATGTTTGGTACAAAGCCACGAGACATTTTGGAACATCCATTTCTTAGCAGGAATAAGCGTGTGGTGAACAATGTTCTGCTGAGGTAGTGTGTTGGGTTATTACACAGTTGTCCCAGAAACAGCAACTTTTTAGCATCGATGTAAGATTCAATTGGATAGTAACCTATCAGAGCGTTACAGATATCTGTTCGCGTTGTTTTAGGTAGGCCTTGAACAAGTTTTACAGAGAATCTCTGAGCACGTTCTAGAGCAATTAATTCCTTTTTATTTAAATCTGACCAGAGCTCGCATCCAAACATAGATATGGGTAAGGACACATTTGGGTAAGCCGCATTCAGCAATATTCCACCTATATGACGACGGTCTGTAAATAATCGAGTCAGAACCAGATAATCCAGTGATTGACATCATGAGTAACGATCCACGCAATTGGGATACGATGGCATGCATCAACCAAGTCAGCTGGCTTGGCCACCCGATCCTGTAAGTTGCCGCTTGCGGCAAGCATGGGTTGCTGTGACCTATTCTACCCCGGATCTTCACGGGTATTTTAATATAAATCTAAAAAGTGCTCATTCAGTTACACAATGGTGTGATTCATGATCATTAGTACGTGATGAACAATTGAACTGTCAAAGTGAATGCTGTAGCTTGACGTTGCAGGCTCATTATGTTCATGTACCTCGAAAGTCTCAACAGGTCTGGCATCCTCTGAGAAGTCTGGCAACTGTTTATTGGTACAGCTTGTACCATGGTATTCCCCACACTGCAAGCGAGACCATATTTCCAGCAAGTGAATCTTCGTGTGTTACAGTCTTTTTTGAAATAACATCAGATGATGTCCTGGAGTGCTGAAGGTGCTGCAGGCTGATCTGTCTGTATTGGCAAGGGACGTCCATCTATCATGTGCCATCCCCGCTCCAATGGATTCATATTGAACCCTTTTCACTCTATTATCTCGTAGAAGACACGGGGTCTTTGGTATCTTGTGGCTGCAGAGGATGGTGGCAGTGTTTTTGGCTCTACGTGTGATAGGATCTTCGTCACCTTCCCCAAAAATCGTTTGTATCATAAGCTATCCAGTCCTTCCTTCTTACATCCGCCATATAAGACACTATTGCATGTTTACCTGCTTCCGGGATGACCTTTTTTTCATCTCCTGTTTCTTCTGTTTGGCTGAACGTTTTAGCCTGATCACAGAACAAGGAATTATTCTTCAATGCTAGACCCTTTCCCAAGCCAAACAGTCGAGGAGTGGTTTCACAGCCACGCATTGTATGTAAAAAGAGCACATGCACACATACATCACTGCCAAGCAGCAGCGTTGATTGCTTCATGCACATAATTCCTTCTTGAAGCTGGCTTGAGTTCTGGTGGCCGGACAAGTCAAGTGCTTCCATTTTAACATGATGAAGAGGGAGGACGAGCAAGTCTGTGTCATCTCCCACCAGGACAGTGTGACAGTTTCTTGTTTTGCATGAACTATTCTGCACCAAGCTCTCCCTGGTCTGTCACCCAGGCAGGCAATAAAGCGCCGTTTGTGTTTTGCTTTGTTCTAGAGTTCTTCCTTCTACGATTGAATAACCATTTCCCCCGTGAAATAATCTGTCTTGCCAGAACAGGCCCCTGTGTTGCATCTTTCGTTGATAGATCATCATTGTGGCCATTAAAGACAATGTTAGCAGCAGCATATGTATGTACAACATATAGATGGTATATAGTTAACATGCGTAACATGGTCAGAGTAGCCGGTGAAGTAAAGCACTACCACAACGAAAGTTCTGGACATTTGAAGGTACTCGTTCTTTCACTTGAATGGTGTCCCAGATAACATCATCAAGGGTTACCTTACTGGCCTGCAGTGCAAGGGAGGAGGATTCAGACAATGATGGTGGGTGACTTCAAAGTTCATACATGAACAGTGCTGGTAGATCTTGTACTATACTGGTGTGACAGTTTATTTCACGGAGGAAATGGTCATACGATCGAAGAAGCATTCTTGAACAACGCAAAAACAATCTTTATTGCCCATCTGGGTGACAATCTGGATAGACTCGGGTGTAGTTCTGTACATGCAAAACGGGCGAACATTATCTTGGGTCTTTATATGGCGGATGTAAGACGGAAGGGCTGAGTAGTTAAAGGTACAAGTGATCTTCTTTCAGTGGCATTTAGAAGTTGGTGTGATGAAGTAAGACGAGTTCTATGGATGAACAACTTTTTTATTACAATTAGTGCGACGTTTCGGTGTAGATCCTAACACCTTTATCAAGCGACATCCAGACTGGATTATTTACAGACCGCCGTCATATAGCTGGAATATTGCTGAGTGCGGCGTTAAACAATAAACCAACCAACCAATCCTACCAAAGTGTTGGGGAAATGTGTGTCTGTCTCTGTGTGGCCAGCAACAAGAATAATTATTGCCTCTTGGTTCCTGGTGTGTCTGTCGTTTAAGTAAGTGTGAATTTGATTGCAGCATATACATTGTGTTAGCCACAGTGATTATGTGTTATATATGTGTGTTCACATGTCAATTTAAATCAACTTCTACACCATATTTTCATACACCATGGACCATGTCTGGACCATGGTTACTGTACTCTTGTAATGTTGAATCACACACGCAAAACACCGAGTTAAAAAACAACGGCACACACGCGTACATGCACGTCGGTATGCAAGTGAAATAATCATAAACGCGACGTTAAACACCACCCAGCCTCTTCTCTCCTCACCTCACCTCTTTAAAAAATAGTGACAATTGAATGTGTACTTTCAGTTTTGTTCGATGCGGCTTGATCAGTTAAATAATGTTGACGTTAAACCCCAGTTCACCCCATCTCACTATTGAAGAGGATTAACCTTTCGTTACATCGCCGATGAGGAGTATCCGTTATTCCTGATTAGTACAATACGTCAGTGAGGACTGTGCTATTGAGCTAACAGACCCTGTAAATAATCGGGTCGGGACCAGACAAACCAGTGATTAATATCATGAGCATTGATCCACGCAATTGGGATCGATGACATGCATCAACCAAGTCAGCACACCTGACGACCCGATCCCGTTAGTCGCCTCTTACGACAAGCATAGTCGCCTTTATGGCAAGCATGGGTTGCTGAAGACCTATTCTACCCCGGATCTTCTCGGATCTTATGGTTATATGAGACTGTATTGTGCCTAGAGGAAGGTCCGGGGTTCGATCCCTGTCCGGGTCATATCAAAAGACGTTAAAAGATTATACTTATTGTTACCCTGTCTGGCGCTCGGCATTAAGGGGCTAAAACAAGGACTGGTCGGACTAGTACAAGCAGCCACACACACACACACACACACAAACACACGTGCATTCACGTCGCTATATAAGTGCAATAATCTTGGACGCGACGTTAAACCTCATTTCACTTCACCTCACCTTTAACTCAGCGTAATAGGACTTATATGCATGATTATTACTTGGCACACAAACTCACTGAAGTGTAGTTTGCACTTTTAGATAATGAACTCTGTCACCATTACCCCCTAACGGCCAAAAATTCCAAGATTGCCACCAAGAGATTGCTGCATAGACATGAAATATCAATACACTGTTGGTCTCTGATGACATACTTGAGTAATTTGAACTTCTACATTGGGGTAAACAGACCCAAGGATGCATGTAGACTACTCAATCATTTGCATAAATCAATATAACCACAACATATCTCGTAAATGACATGTTTTGGCGAATTAATATATCAATATTGATTGTTATTTTCTGTATCTCCTTATTACCATGACAATAAACACTGGAATGAACACTAATAAAACACTTGTTTTCATTAATATAAATACCAGTTCGAAAAACAGTGTCCACATGAGGTCCTCTCAGAATTAATCCAAACCATTTTTTTCACAAGTAGTGGATGAGTCATCTCCCTTGAAGTTCATTTGCGGAAATCCAATATAATCACCACATACCAATATTTGATTGTTTGTTTATTTGTTTAAAGCCGCATTCAGCAGTATTCCACCTATATGACGACGGTCTGTAAATTGTCGAGTCAGAACCAGACAATCCAGTGATTGACATCATGAGTAACGATCCACGCAATTGGGGTACGATGGCATGCATCAACCAAGTCAGCTGGCTTGGCCACCCGATCCCGTAAGTCGCCCTTTGCGGCAAGCATGGGTTGATGTGAGCTATTCTACCCCGGATCTTCACGGGTATTTTAATATAAATCTAAAAATTGCTCATTCAGTTACACAATGGTGTGATTCATGATCATTAGTACGTGATGAACAATGGAACAACTGTCAAAGTGAATGCTGTAGCTTGACGTTGCAGGCTCATTATGTACATGTACCTCGAAAGTCTCAACAGGTCTGGCATCCTCTGAGAAGTCTGGCAACTGTTTATTGGTACAGCTTGTACCATGGTATTCCCCACACTGCAAGAAAGACCATATTTCCAGCAAGTGCATCTTCGTGTGTTACAGTCTTTTTTGAAATAACATCAGATGATGTCCTGGATGTCCATGATGTCCTCGAAAGTCTCAACAGGTCTGGCCGCTTTCGGCAAGCATTATTATCATCTTTATTCCTCCATAGGAGAGTTACATGCAATTCATTACGGTTATACAGATATTAACAAGAGAAATAACAAGATTAGGTTAGGGGTCAGGATATAGTGTCAAACATCGTTTGTGTATGTTCTGGATCACAGTTCTTGCAAACAGTTCATTGTCTTCGTCACTCGCTTGTACAGGAGGTGTGCATGACAACAGACTGCACACTAGGTCAACGACACACATAGAGTGTAAGGTAACACTCAATTCAACTGGACAACAGTTGACAATTTCACACCACATACGATCCCTGATGAATTCTGATGCTCTGCAGTGGCATATCATATGGACCAGAAGATCATTATAACCTTTGTCACAACGTTTGCAGTGACCATGTACTTTTCCTGGCCGCCAGAGTGCGCACATGTCCACAACAAATTTGCAGGAGTCCTTTAGTAAGGGCCAATGCTTAGCAACTTTCCATGCTTTGTTTGATTTTGTTGTGTATTTTTGAAAAATGGTGTAGGTCCGGGTCTGTTTGTAGACGCTGTTGCCACTCCGAGTCATGATGTTCTTCGATTTGCTTCTTGACCTTTTTCTTCCAGAGTGATGGTTTGCAAAACTGCCCTGTGTCCATGAATGCTGTTAGATGCTCAAACATGTTGTACTTCTGTAGAATCTGAACAATGTTTGGTACAAAGCCACGAGACATTTTGGAACATCCATTTCTTAGCAGGAATAAGCGTGTGGTGAACAATGTTCTGCTGAGGTAGTGTGTTGGGTTATTACACAGTTGTCCCAGAAACAGCAACTTTTTAGCATCGATGTAAGATTCAATTGGATAGTAACCTATCAGAGCGTTACAGATATCTGTTCGCGTTGTTTTAGGTAGGCCTTGAACAAGTTTTACAGAGAATCTCTGAGCACGTTCAGAGCAATTAATTCCTTTTTATTTAAATCTGACCAGAGCTCGCATCCAAACATAGATATGGGTAAGGACACATTTGGGTAAGCCGCATTCAGCAATATTCCACCTTTATGACGACGGTCTGTAAATAATCGAGTCAGAACCAGATAATCCAGTGATTGACATCATGAGTAACGATCCACGCAATTGGGATACGATGGCATGCATCAACCAAGTCAGCTGGCTTGGCCACCCGATCCTGTAAGTTGCCGCTTGCGGCAAGCATGGGTTGCTGTGACCTATTCTACCCCGGATCTTCACGGGTATTTTAATATAAATCTAAAAAGTGCTCATTCAGTTACACAATGGTGTGCTTCATGATCATTAGTACGTGATGAACAATTGAACTGTCAAAGTGAATGCTGTAGCTTGACGTTGCAAGCTCATTATGTTCATGTACCTCGAAAGTCTCAACAGGTCTGGCATCCTCTGAGAAGTCTGGCAACTGTTTATTGGTACAGCTTGTACCATGGTATTCCCCACACTGCAAGCGAGACCATATTTCCAGCAAGTGCATCTTCGTGTGTTACAGTCTTTTTTTAAATAACATCAGATGATGTCCTGGAGTGCTGAAGGTGCTGCAGGCTGATCTGTCTGTATTGGCAAGGGACGTCCATCTATCATGTGCCATCCCCGCTCCAATGGATTCATATTGAACCCTTTTCACTCTATTATCTCGTAGAAGACACGGGGTCTTTGGTATCTTGTGGCTGCAGAGGATGGTGGCAGTGTTTTTGGCTCTACGTGTGATAGGATCTTAGTCACCTTCCCCAAAAACCGTTTGTATCATAAGCTATCCAGTCCTTCCTGCTTACATCCGCCATATAAGACACTATTGCATGTTTACCTGCTTTAGGGATGACCTTTTTTTCATCCCCTGTTTCTTCTGTTTGGCTGAACGTTTTAGCCTGATCACAGAACAAGGAATTATTCTTCAATGCTAGACCCTTTCCCAAGCCAAACAGTCGAGGAGTGGTTTCACAGTCAAGCATTGTATGTAAAAAGAGCACATGCACACATACATCACTGCCAAGCAGCAGCGTTGATTGCTTCATGCACATAATTCCTTCTTGAAGCTGGCTTGAGTTCTGGTGGCCGGACAAGTCAAGTGCTTCCATTTTAACATGATGAAGAGGGAGGACGAGCAAGTCTGTGTCATCTCCCACCAGGACAGTGTGACAGTTTCTTGTTTTGCATGAACTATTCTGCACCAAGCGTTAAACAATAAACCAACCAACCAATCCTACCAAAGTGTTGGGGAAATGTGTGTCTGTCTCTGTGTGGCCAGCAACAAGAATAATTATTGCCTCTTGGTTCCTGGTGTGTCTGTCGTTTAAGTAAGTGTGAATTTGATTGCAGCATATACATTGTGTTAGCCGCAGTGATTATGTGTTATATATGTGTGTTCACATGTCAATTTAAATCAACTTCTACACCATATTTTCATACACTGTGTGTCTGGACCATGGTTACTGTACTCTTGTAATGTTGAATCACACACGCAAAACACCGAGTTAAAAAACAACCGCACACACGCGTACATGCACGTCGGTATGCAAGTGAAATAATCATAAACGCGACGTTAAACACCAACCAGCCTCTTCTCTCCTCACCTCACCTCTTTAAAAAATAGTGACAATTGAATGTGTACTTTCAGTTTTGTTCGATGCGGCTTGATCAGTTAAATAATGTTGACGTTAAACCCCAGTTCACCTCATCTCACTATTGAAGAGGATTAACCTTTCGTTACATCGCCGATGAGGAGTATCCGTTATTCCTGATTAGTACAATACGTCAGTGAGGACTGTGCTATTGAGCTAACAGACCCTGTAAATAATCGGGTCGGGACCAGACAAACCAGTGATTAATATCATGAGCATTGATCCACGCAATTGGGATCGATGACATGCATCAACCAAGTCAGCACACCTGACGACCCGATCCCGTTAGTCGCCTCTTACGACAAGCATAGTCGCCTTTATGGCAAGCATGGGTTGCTGAAGACCTATTCTACCCCGGATCTTCTCGGATCTTATGGTTATATGAGACTGTATTGTGCCTAGCTCGGCAATGTGTGAGGAACTCTGGGGTTTATGTTTATTGACCCTCAGACAGTTTTGTTACAACTAAGATCCTTCTCGATAGGGACACTTCTTGAGAATTGCACTGGAGTAATAGGTGTGATATGTGTGTTTTTTTCGCACATGGCTAATGTCACTCAACCCGCACAGTCGACGATCGCCTTCTCCCAATGATGTCCTCTAAAACGACCTTCACCTCTGACCTGCAAGTTGCGTTAATGATGCAGCTTCTTTTGCCTGGATCAACTTCACGAGCTACATCTACACCATCAACGATAACCCTGTAGGAGAACTGGGGTGTCGAGGATTCTGGGACGGACCACGTGACCTCTTTTGACGTCACTTCCTCTATTGTGAAGTAAATGGGGTCATTCGATGGTTCTGACCTTGCAGCGGATTGACATGAGAACTTCCGGTCGGTGGCCAAAATAGGAGAAGGTGTGGTCCCCTTGCCAGTCTGCATGAAGAAGTCATTACAGTCTATCCCCCCGTCATAATTGTGGTTGTATAACCTACAAGCATCTTCTTGGAGCACATTGAACGTCGCCTTCTGGAAGGGCAGCCAGGCACCATCGGTCGTTCTCTTGTAGCCATTCTTGAAGTTGACGCGTCTGTATTTGTCCCCATTGCCAATCCAGTCTTCGATGAAGCACACGGTGGGTGTCTCAAAGTATATTTCCGACACAGGGAAATCCATGGAAACGAGATGGAACCACGTGTTGGCAATCTGGTCCCGAGCCCAAAACCCGAAGTAGGTGTGTTCTTTGTAGTCCCATCTCCTAGCAACCAATGTGTACCACTGGTCTGGCTTCCATCCGATGCTGAAATTCATCGACTTCAGACCGGTTCCTTCTCCGCCAAACTTTTCCGTCTTGGTTCCTGGATGTCTGTAAACCGGTTCTATGGCCTCGTTGGTTGTTGTAGGATCCCAGATTGAGAAGATGTAGCACTGTCCATTCGGGTGTTCTTGAATACCACAATAACCCAAACCATTGCGACCCCCATTCCACTGCATGCAGCAGTAATATGTGCACCGAGTGACCCCATGACCAGGCACATGCACGTCGTGCATCAGGATGTCGCCTTTCTCCCGGTCATCGAACCACAGATGACAAGACGGAGCCCGGTTTCCTGCCATTGTGCGCAGATTGGAATGTTATTTTAGTTGATAATTCGTAATGTGAGCGAACCTAGAAGCAAAGCCAAACGGTATGAGTAAATATTTATCAAATATTTTTAAGATTTTTATGTTTTTTGTGTGTCTTCTATCTCAGACTGTCCAATAAGGTGGTATATGTCGTCTAAGGCTCAGCAATATATGTGTGTGTTTCATGCTCCGGTCATTCCAAAAGTAAGGTAGGTCAAGGCCGTAGTTAACTCCCCTCCCCCCCCCCCCCCCCCCCCCCACACACACACACACACCCACACACACACACACACACACACACACACCCACCCCTCTCTTCCCCCTGCCCCCCTGGCTGGCTACGGCACTGTAGGTGTAAGAGGTAATCGGGGAGGGTCAACAATAAACTGACAGTATAATATTATGGGAGGGTTATAAAAATTAATATACATATTTGGGGAGGGTCATGAGAAAATTGGCATTTGATAATAAAATGTAAACTGCTTTTGCATGAGAAAATATGACAAGCATTAGAGGAGGGTCATTATTTTCAGTACATTAGTGCATAAAAAAACACTGACCCATCCACCACTGTTATAAATGTCCGCTCCCTTACCAAATGTTTACGAAGAATGACAATGAAGCGTATCCTAAATTATTCATTGTATACTATGGCCCTATTCGCAACCATAGCTTCATGGTGAGCCCGATTCGAATGTCAGGACTCCAATCAAAATATAAAACTCACGAGCGAAAGAAACGCTGTACTGAGCTAGATATAGGATCGACGCAGTTGGTGACGTCACTTCCTTTCTAAGCATAGTGGCGAATGGGTCCTGGGTACTCCTCAAAACAGAATGATGATAAAATACACTGGATAATCGAGGATGAAGCAAGTAGAGAAAACACAAAGTCCCGCATGGACTTTAGATGTATACTTTGGTGATTTTTTTCATAACAACAAAACCCGCCCCACCCCAATCCTCACACATACACAATCTCACCGGACCACACACACACACACACACACACACACACACACACACACACACACCTTAACTAAAATACCAGTCCCTAAATAATGTTCAAATGTACATTTTAAAAAATGTAATAACATCTCACGCGTGTTTCAATTACCTCGTCCGCACTGCTACAGACACCGTTATGGGTAGAGTATAGATAAGCTTCCTGTTTGACACAGAGGTCGCATCTCTGCAACAATACTTTAACTGAGATTTACGACAGTCGTAAACCCCTATATTTTATCATTGATCAAGGAGGAATGGCGGAATTAGCTCGTCCGCTCTACTTCAGACACCGTTATGAGAAGAGTATAGATGAGCTTCCTATGGCTTTGTTTGACACAGAGGTCGCATCTCTACAGCAATACTTTAACATAGATTTACGACAGTCGTAAACTCCTATATTTTATCACAGACCAAGGAGGAATGGTGGAGAATACTGTAGGACGTGGCCGGGCGGCTGACAACATAAGTAAGACGCCGTGCTGTAGCATGCATCGATCCAGGTGGAGAACACACAGTTATTAGTCACCCGAAAATAACATGAACAGGAACAATCTGGCGAGACATGGAAACTTGGATATCGCACAAAATGCAAACCCCGGTAACAATTCACAAAGAAAAAGTTATTTTTGGTTATTTATAGAAAATAACAATCCTTTAAACCTTATAATTATTTGTCAAAACGAATCATTTTCAACTTTAGAGATAAGAAATATCCACCAACATTCCTATTCATACAGAGGGGGGGGGATGCAGTCGGGTAGCCTAGTGGTTAAAGCGTTCGCTCGTCACGCAGAAGACCCGGGTTCGATTCCCGACATGGGTACGATGTGTGAAGCCGTGATATTGCTGGAATATTGCTATAAGTGGCGTAAAACCAAACTCACTCACTCACTCATACAGAAGGAGCTCACTGAATTTTATAAGATAACAAAGTATACTTCCGTCGTTAATTGTAACAGAGATTACTTTATTTAGCTTTGGTCAAGCTGTCATGCTTTATTTCTTTGAATATTTTGTTATGCATAGCCTCTTCATCACAATGACCGCGACATCTCGGTGTAGATACTCACACCCTTATCAGGCAAGTGACTCACAGATATGTGAAGTAGGGAGGTTGTATACATGTGGATAATTGATGTTTATCATCACTTGCTTGATAACGGTGATAGCATCTTCATCGAAATGTCGCAGTCATTGAAATAAAGAAGTTGAATGTCACGACTCGAGGCCGACAGAAACTCGACAGATCAACTGAAATGGTGGGATCACTTCCGAAACGAAAGGGTCTTGCTGATTTGTCCAAATTAAATGAAAATAAATGGACTAGATAATCGAGATTAGATCTGATTTGTTGTCATTTGTAGTTTTCCGAATTTGTGATAGAATACGAAATTGGCCCATTTGGACAGTTGCACGTTTGAAACGCCGTTCTAAAGGTCGCATGTCATAACAATCTACGAGTAAAATAATACAAATTACAGAGCCAGCAATTACAGACAATATGAACAATAACGTTTAATCGATACCTCTGTGTAAACAAACAAACAATGATGTTCATCTACATATTCGGATCAATCTTTATAACGGTACTTACGGGCCCGGTTGGTGGATTTTTAACAGATCAGCGAGACGCCCAGCTGACCCTGATAAAGAATGAATGCCAGTTTACAATGTCAGAGGTCGTGTATTTCTATCGATAAGAGCCGATAAAACAAAAACAGTCGTAGTTATCTGTCAAGTTACTGATGAAGCGTTATGGCAGTTTGCTCACTCTCTAAAAAAAACTAGCCTGCAGCCTCCCTATCCTCCCGAGATGGACAGTGGTCCTGCTCCGAAGATGAGTTGAGGTGAAATAGGGTTTAACGTTGCGTTCAAGATTATTGCACTTATATAGCGACGTGCATGCACGTGTGTGTGTGTGTGGCCGCTTGTACTAGTCTGAACTAATGCCGACTTTATGGTACTAGCCCACTGAGATACCAAGTCTAAGTTTAACATGAATACCCCACTCAGACACAGTATAATGGCTCCGAGCCTACCAGTCCTGTTATAGCCACTTAATGCCGAGCGCCAGGCAGGTAAAAACTACGAAGGATGAATGGTGCACCCTTATCAGTTTTCATGCATTCAGTGCAATACATTCCATGCTTACATGCTACATTTGAACCAACTATACGGCAGCATATTTCTACAGGACAACTTTTAGTCTGTTGATGGAAATGGACCACATTGGCTACTGTACTGTCGTCAAGTATATTCAACTGAAAGGGCGAACATGGTGTCAACTTTGGGGATGACGCTCCTTCCTTTGCCCCTGTTTAAGGGCTGGGCGGTGAAGAGATAGCCTTGACGATGATCCAGGATCAGGAAGACTTTAAACTCCCACCACTATGGAAACTTATATGGAAAAAAATAAATGACATGACTATGGATGACCGACGACACGTCACATTGACCATCCCGGAGACATCTCTTATGAGTGTTTGTTTGTTTGTTTGTTGTTTAACGCCAGACAATCCAATGACTGACATCATGAGCATCGATCCACGCATTTGGGATACGATGAAATGCATCAACCAGGTTAGGGAGCCTGACCACCCGACCCGTTAGTCGCCTCTGAAGGCAAGCATAGTCGCCTTTTACGGCACGCATGGGTTACTGAAGATCTATTCTACCCCGGATCTCTTATTCTCTTATGAGTGAGTTGAGAACATTTTTCAGACTTCAGACTCTTGTTCAGAACAGTTCAGGTTCATCATCACTTGTGCGAGTTTACGTCCTTTTGAAGCAAACCCAGCTGATTCTCTTGAGCGATTTGTAATTATGGGGGTGGGGATGGGGTTGGTTCACCACTATCAGCCAGAGACTAAACAATAGTCAAAGCAGTGGAAACATCTAACGTCTCCTCCGTCGAATAAGGCAAACTTCGGTGTTTTTTTCTGTGATTCCAAACCCTACTAGTGGACTACCTCCCGAAAGGTCCGACAATTAATGGCCAATATTATGCTAATCTGCTTAAGCATCTTCGTGAGAATATCAAGGCTAAATGCCACCAGGACAACGCACCTGTACACAAATCTGTTGTCGCCATGGCTGCAATGTATGACTGTGACTTTGAACTCATTGAACATCATCCATGTTCACTAGTTTTGACACCATCAGATTCCACCTTCTTACAAAATTTAAGAAAGAACTGTCTGGCACGCATCCAAACGGAGGAAGCCTTCTACACCATTGGGGTCCGGACACTCCAGCATCGTTGGCAGAAGTACATGGACCTCGGAGATTATTTTGTAAAAAATAATTAACAAACCATCCAAGTGAGACTTTCAGCGACCCTTCGTATAACCTTATTAAATTATGACAAAAACAAATGCACTGTTAACAATAAAAGAGTGAGTGAGAGAGTGAGTTTGGTTTTACGCCGCTTTTGGCAATATTCCAGCAATATCACGGCGGGGGACACCAGAAATGGGCTTCACACATTGTACCCATGTCGGGAATCGAACCCGGGTCTTCGGCGTGACGAGCGAACGCTTTAACCACCTGGCTACCCGACCGCCCCCAATGAAAGAGAAGAAAGCTGTATTCATAATTGTACATAGACATATATCAAGAATAAAAAGATTTTATAAAGCTAATAGTGTTAACTATTATTATTCTATGCTTTGCCGCCATTTACTTCCCTAAGTATTGTTGCAATTTCGTATATTGTTTGTGGATGTGTTTTGGAGAGGATCTTTCGTTGAAAATATGTTTTAGAGAGGGCGTCCAATCCTGTTCACGCATTTGAAACAGTAGTATCTGCTGGTCTTGAGGACGACTGACGCATATTGATCAGTGCCAAACATTGACAAGCAGGTGGTAGTGAGGACACACCGGCCTGGAGGTGCCAACAGCAGTAGATTCAATAGACATCCAAGATATGCACTGATTGTAGCAGGTTTATTGCAATAAAATAGTCAGAGGATACACCTGTAAATCCTACGAACCAGGTACATGCCAAAGTGACGTAAACACAAAGGTGGGATACGAAAGGGTGGATGGATATCCAGATACAAACACATAACGCTTTAACATAGTCTTGATGGCAAACACTATAGAATAAAACATGATTAAAGTGTAAACATTCCTGGATTGAATGTTGGTATGCTGTCACCAGGACCGGATGATATGCTGGTGTCCCCAGTAGCGGGTGGTATTCTGGTCTCACCAACACCCGATGGTATGCTGCTGTCACTAGTACTGGGTGGTATTCTACTGTCATCAATACTCGAACGTATGCTGGTGTCACCAGTACCGGATTGTATGTTAGTGTCACCAGTAGCTGATTGTATGTTGGTGTCACCAATAGCGGGTGGTATGCTAGTCTCACCAACACCCGATGGTATGCTGCTGTCACTAGTACTGGGTGGTATTCTACTGTCATCAATACTCGAACGTATGTTGGTGTCACCATTAGCGGGTGGTATGCTGGTGTCACTAGTACTGGATGGTATGCTGATGTCACCAGTACAGGGTGGTATGCTGTTGTCACTAGTACTGGGTGGTATTCTACTGTCATCAATACCCGAACGTATGCTGCTGTCATCAATACCGGATAGTATACTGGTGTCACTAGTACTGGATTGTATGTTGGTGTCACCAGTACCCGATGCTGCTCCTTTAAGCAATGTTCCAGCAATATGTGGGTGAGATGAGAAAACTCTCCACACAATGTATTTGGGGGATGGAACCAGGGCTACCCCCACCATCCTCTGCACTACAGATGGATGTTGAAACAGCAATCCACTTCACTCGCTGTGGTGAACCAGACTGAAT